TAACGTCATGCTTGGTCAATTGGGATTTCAAATAACAGTGTTGAAGTCCCTGGGGGTGTTTATGAGGGTTTCAGTTTATCAGGTGTGGTGGGGGGTGCCATGGGTAAGGAGAGCACCATAGGTGAGAGCTGCAAGCTCAATCTATATCAACTATCATTTTTTTAGAACAGCTCTTATTCTTATAATGGAAAATCTGGAGGCTTAATAGACAGATTACCTGTGTCTGATTCCGATATTGTAGGAGGCACTCTATTATCGTTCAAATTCTGTTAACACCAAGAGACCCAGACATATTTACTATTATCTAGGTTGTTTTTTATGTGACTTGCTTTGGTATGTGAATGAAGTATGAAAATCTATCCATACACGTTAGAGCTGTGTCCTTGCGTCCGAACATTCAATGGCTACTCTGGGGCTGCCCAACACCCAATGTATTTGTCCACAAACTGTAGGTGCTAGGCCGTTCCTATAAGACATAGGAACCAAATTAAAGTAGGACAATAAAATTCAACATACACCTTTTTTTCTCTTCTTGAAACTGCTGATGTTATTTCTGCAAGACATGTTGCTTAATGAAGTTTCTTGGAGGCTTGGATTAAAAGGAATTATGTTGTTTTTGCCCCCATGGAAAAGGTAAATTGATATGTCATTGCAATATATTCTCTGCAGTTCTTTTCATTTCGCATGCACCCCTCATTTTAAGCTGTTGGATTTGAATTTACTATCATGTTTAAGTAATGGATGTTAGAATTAAAGATGCATGCTCTTGTTTGTTGCTTTGCTCCTATAATTCCATGCACATTTTTCATCTTGCTAAGGTGAATTAGTGCAGGCCGTAATATGTCCTGAATTTTATGATGATTAATGGGTTTGTTACTCTGTGCAGTGAGTATATTATTGATCTGATGGGTGCACCTGGGACACTGATTCCTGCCGAGGTACCCACTAGTCAGCTCCCAAATTCTTTCTTTGCAATAAGGAGCTTTCAAGATGCCACCGAAATGCCCAAAGATGCATGTTTGGCTCAAGCTGAGGGCAGTGGAATGTTAGTAGTTCCTCCCAATCTTGACAGAGTTTCTAGAGCTGGCAGCTCACGGTCAGAAGAAGCATCATATACATGGGTTGAAACAAATGATGATAGAAGAATCATTGTTGACGAAAACCAAATGGATGGTTCTGGCAGTGTTATGGGAACTCCCTTCACATCACTTCCTAAATCATGTGAAAGTTCATCGGGTACAACTGAAAAAGCCACATCTGCACAAAAAAGGAAGGTGAAAAATGTATCAAAGTATGTCATCAGTGCAGCAAAGAACCCAGAGTTTGCACAAAAACTACATGCTGTCTTGTTGGAAAGTGGTGCATCACCTCCTGCAGATTTATTTTCAGATATGAATCCTCAATATCTGCATGAAGACAAGTTGCTTGGTCAAATGAATGCAGATGGGAAACTTGTAGATGATGGGATTCATAATTATTTGGTACAATTATTATCAGGCAATGAGCAATCCACTCAAACTTCTGCTGCAGTGGGCAACGCCAATTTTAATAACCTGCTGAAACAATCTTCTGTGGATTTTGCTGAGCAACGAAATGAATCAGAGACAAACAAGTTTTTGCCTCCCTCAGATACTGGTGGATTTAGTGAAACAACCCAGATTAGTGCTAAAAATTCGGATCCTGCTCTTGTTAATCCCCCAAAAATGAATTCAGAAGCTTTTAACGAGGATAAAGAATCAGTGAGTAAACCATTGGACGCATGCAATAGTGGCCTGTGTACTAGTTGTGATAATCACTACGAGAGGTACCCAGCACTGGGAGAAGTGGCAGAGTGGGAAATTCTATGGGAGGATCTTCAGATTGGTGAACGCATTGGCATTGGTAAGCATGCATCTTTTGGTTAAATTTGGTATATTGTGTAAAAATGGGTTCAATATAATTTGTGGTTTTGTAGGTTCCTATGGCGAGGTATACCATGCAGATTGGAATGGCACTGTAAGTATTCTTTCCAACACTAGCAATTATTTATCTTATATCTTCCCAGAGTTTCTTTGTATATATAATTTCTCTCAAACAGCGACATTTTGTCAATAATTCGTTGAGATGTCTGTACTTTGAAGTGTGATACTTTTCTGAACATCAATGCTTCATATGTTGGTTGTTCACGGCGTGAGACTTGTTTTTATAATTCTGGAATATGGTCTGCTATTGGGTCCAATTATTACAAATTGCTTCTTGGTCTGTGTTGACTTTTTGTATGACAGGAAGTAGCTGTGAAAAAATTTTTAGATCAAGATTTTTCTGGTGATGCATTAGTTCAGTTTAAATGTGAAGTAAGCGCCAATACTTAACTTTTATATATGATTTTATTAATGTATCATGAGCCTAAAATTCAAATACATTGGTTTTGTATTAATTGATTCTTGCTGTGTGTTCATGCAGGTAGAAATTATGTTGAGACTTAGACATCCCAATGTTGTCCTTTTTATGGGGGCAGTTACTCGCCCTCCACATTTTTCTATCCTGACGGAGTTTCTTCCCAGGTTTATTTCTTTATCACTTGTTTTCTTTCTTTCGTTTTATTTATTTATTTATTTATTATTATTTTTTTTTTATTTATCAGATTTTATATAATTCTGAAAGTTGAATGAATATGATGTAATTTGCATCATACAAAAATGTAAATACATGGATGTGCATGCGCGATGTAAATCTATAACTAGGCAACTAATAGGCCTTTCAAGCAACATATTCGTTTTACAAAGTAGACATCTACATTACAACCCTGTTCCATTATCTCATTCATCTCATTCTCGTCTTGTTACACAATTCACTTGGTGTACAGGGGGAGTTTATATAGATTGCTGCATCGTCCCAATTCTCAACTTGATGAAAGGAGGCGAATGCGAATGGCTCTTGATGTGGTAAAAACTTTTTTATTTCTTATTTTGCAGTTTTTCATTTCTGGTTTCCTTTTGATTCTTAATCAGAGCTCCGTAAAATTATGCAGGCCAAGGGAATGAATTACCTGCATACTAGCCATCCTACTGTTGTGCATCGAGACCTAAAGTCTCCAAACCTCCTTGTTGATAAGAATTGGAATGTGAAGGTCGACTCAATCCAAAACTTACATTCTTAAGTTATTCCTTGATAATGCTTTTTTGTTTTATTATTATTTTTTCCAACTTAGATTGATATCTCTATTGTTGGGAGAAAAATTGATTTGCTTTTTCTCAAATATATTGGTTATATTATGGTGCAGGTTTGTGACTTTGGGTTGTCGCGTACGAAGCACCATACTTATCTGTCATCTAAGTCTACCGCTGGAACGGTAATATTTGTTAGATGTGAATGTTCAAACAATATCTGTGCCCTCTCATACAATCCTACCCAGTTATAGTCTGTTATCTTTTAAATGGAACCCTTTTGTTTTATGTACTCATCACACTATTGGGTTGCAGCCGGAATGGATGGCACCGGAGGTTTTGAGGAATGAACCAGCGAATGAGAAGTAAGTTGCCGGAAGGTGGATGCATTTTGAATTATTTTTTTTTCTTTCTGGAGGTTTTCATAAGCTTTGCGTGTTGCTTGCAGGTGTGATGTGTACAGCTTCGGCGTTATCTTATGGGAACTGGCTACTTGCTGTATCCCATGGAAAGGTTTGAACCCGATGCAGGTTGTTGGAGCTGTTGGATTCCAAAACAGACGTCTTGAAATTCCAGAGGACATTGATCCAGTGGTTGCCGAGATAATAGGTGATTGTTGGCAAATGTAAGTTCTAGGATTCCATTGACTTGTACCATAACTGGGTTTGGCAACTCCTCCAACTTCAATTCCTTTTAATTACTACTTGGTTTTGCAGAGAGCCAAATCTACGGCCGTCATTCTCGCAACTCATGGTCCGCCTGCGACACCTTCAACGTTTTGTTGGAAGAACAAACTCTACAAATCAAATGACTGAATAACCCAAAACACAAAAAGCAAAAGAAAAAAAGCTGACCACCGTGTTAATAATCGGAAGTTGTTCCTTGTCTCGAAGAGCCAGGGCAGCAGCAGCGTAATTTTTTTCTCGATGCCGGATTCGGATGTGTTGGCTCAGTCAAAGTGGGAGCTCAGCACAACCAGTATACTGAACAGAGTGGGAAAATCCTCTTTGAATTTATACTGCAAAAGGGGCAGTTGGGGAGCTTCCCGTCGAAGATGTTCGATCAGTCTCTAGTAAAAAGTTGTAGGAAAGAAAAAAGGAAAAAAAAAAAAAAGGGAAAGAAAGAAACTAATAATTGTTAATTGTGTTAGTGTGGAGATCTCATTTGGGAAAATTGTAAGCATATGATCTCTGCATATGATATTGTGCAAAAAAGAAAGAAAAAAGTAAATACATTTGGAAGAAGAAGAAAGAATTTCTTGGGCACTAGTGTTGTTGATTATTTTCACTCTTGAAGTAAATTTTTTGAGATAATAATTAGAAGAGATTTTTCGATGTAATTGGAACATAGAGCAGCATGTAACATGTCATTACACAATTAGAAAGACATTACAAATAAAAAAAAATAAAAAAATCACTGAGAGGGTAAATGCTCTCAAAATAATGCTATTATTGCTGTCCGAAAAAGAGTTTTATTATCATAGCAATGTTCTAAAATAACACTTGAAATATGAAGTGATACTCTCATTATATTGGTATCATCTCAATACACAAATATGTTGTAGATATTATCGATTTGCTATTATTTTTCAAAGTACTATCCTACTCATATGTTAGAAGTACGTACTAACTTTGAGACTTAGAATACGTATAATTTGACCTTAATGTCTTGTGATAATGAATCGTTCATCTATTTTTTTCTTCCGCTTGATTGTCTTTACTTGCTTACAAGCTCACGCTACAAATATTGATGTCAATTTTTGCTATTGTGTTAGATAATTTATTTTTTAAGAATATTTCACTATAACAGTTCTAATTTTGGAAACTTCAACCAAGAAATAAAATATTATGAAAATATGAGTAAATTGGATTGAGATAGAGGGCACGAGTCCTAGTGGAACAGAACACAGTCAACAGAGAGAGAGAGAGATCGCCACCATGGCCTCTGCAGTTCTTCACATTTCTTTCCCTCCACCCCCAACGGCTCATTTCTTTCCCTCCACCCCCAACTTCCTCCGGCCAATAACTCCCGCCCAAAGACCCGAACTCCACCGCAGCCGCCGTCGATATAGAATTGCCAAGATACCCCTATCTTCATCTTTCAGAAGAGGAAGCAACAGCCCAGCAGAGGCAGGCTGCCCTGTTCCGCCGGAGCAGCAGCCGATAAACGAGTACCAGAATCTCTCTACCTCCTTCCCCTTCTCCTGGGCAGCCGGCGACCTAGTCGAGTACTGCTCTCGACTGATCGCAACCGGGTCCTCTTTCGCTCTCCTCGTCGGCCTCCCGGTCGCCTCCTTCGGCGCCCTGGGTGGGCCCCAATCGGACCCACTGAGGCAGTCCCTGTACGCGGTTTCAAGTGGGTTTTTGGTGGTCACTCTCGCCGTCGTGAGGATGTACCTGGGTTGGGCTTACGTCGGCAATAGACTGCTCAGCGCCACCGTTGAATGTAATTCCTCTGTTTCAATTGGGTTTAAAATTTTTATTATTTTATTGTTGCGAAAATTCAAATTCAAATTTTAATTTAATTAATTATTGTTTTTTAATACCCTTTTTGCTTTCTTGTTGCAGATGAAGAGACTGGATGGTATGATGGTCAGGTACATAACTTTAATTTAAGGTTTTATTTAATTGTAAGAATTCATTTGTGATAGCAGAGGAGATGAGCAAGTTGAATGGTTTAAAAGCAACGGAAAGGTTGCTCCTTTGTGAGTGAAAGGTTAGAGTCGTGGAAACAGCCTCTTTGCAAAACAAGGTAAGGCTAGCGATAGACGTTCCCCTACCATCGCAAAGCAGAGAGCCTTTTTACTTGGTTCGCCCATGTTATGTATCATCTTAGACTTAGACAAGGAATTTGTTTTGGAAGTTTGAAGTTTGGTATTGTAAAGGTATGGCCTCACTTACAGAGTTTTTTTTTCCTTTTTTCTAAGCAGATGTGGGTGAAGACTGCTGAAGTTTTGGCGCGGGATCGGCTACTCGGTTCATTTTCTGTGAGTGATTGATATCGAACAGATAGTGTAATTTCATTGTTTTGCAGTTGGATGCTAAGATCCTTGTCAATTATATGAAATTAGGGGAGAATTTTGAATGTTTCTGTGTCTGTCCAAGTGAAAGGCTCATGAACTCTGAAGTGATCATATTCGAAAGAGAATAAAGATCATAACTTGTAGGGCTCGTAGGTCGTTCGACTTGGACCGGACCATTTCAATCAAAATTGGACTAATGTCATCACTGTTTGGTGAACTTACAAGTCTCTCGAGAGGGTGGAACATGGTACCAAATGTGCCCGTAGTTCTCATTCAACTCGCGAAATGGCTTGTCAAGTCATCAATTTTTTCGCATCCTTTCGAAAAGAAATGGACTGGCTAGTTCTTTTCAGCAAGTAAAATGATTGGGATAGTTGTTTTGGATTGCAGAGCGATCGATTATTGCCACTTACGCAGTTGCCTTGATTTTGTTCAACAGGTTAAGCCAGTGCTGAGCAGATTAAAGACTACACTCGTATTTCTTGCGGCGTCTATACTTTCATGTGTTCTTCTCCTCGTTTCCCTTGACGGAGGCCAAATTGAAGAAGCCGGGAATAGGGTTATACCCGGAGTTTACAATGATGATTCTGCGAGATCGTTCGAGCCTGACGCCTTTTGCGGTGAACCTGGTCTTCCCTAATTCTCAGTCACTGAAAAACTGCAGTGCGAAAAACGCAACATGTCTATATGTATATATACTGTCTATGCAAGGATGTAGAATTAATCCCCTTGCTGTACATAGTAATGATATAAATTGTAAATCTTTGACACATATCAAAATGTCCTGTTAAAATCACAAAGAGAAGTTTTTATGTACATTTCAAATTCTGATTTGTCTGCTAAAACGAAAGACTTCTTACATGTAAGTAGCGAAATATTTTCAACGAGAGCAGTTCGATGAGTCCATGACCATCTCGCTGAACCCCATAGGCACTCAAAGGTGTCTACATGGAGGACTTCATCATTCTGGACTCTGGACACATGTATATGGCCCATAATATGGTATTTGTGTGGTCAGATCATTATCTGATTCAGTCGTCCGTACTCAAGAATTTCTAAAATATGTGGATTAGAGATTCTCTTATAAATCCAAAGGACCGTGTCTAGTGCTAATTCTTGATAAATATGATGAACCAAAACTATGTCATGTCATAACTTAACGAAAAACGTGACGAAAAACACAATAGTTTCTAGTTTCTGGTTTCTAGTGTCGGTGCCAACCTCAATGTCGATGGTTACAAATCACCAATCCCAGAGCATCGCCCTCCCAGCCAGCCTGCCTCAATGCTCTCAAAACACAATAGTCAAAATTGTACGGCCAATGATGGTGGTGGTGCTCGAGTTGTTGCATCATGCAATAATGAAGTGCCATGCATTGTCTTCCAAAAGTTGATCAGAATAATACAACATCGACTATATGACCATCACATTCTTCAAATAAAGTTGGGGTTCGGATGGAGTCGATAACAGGGCTGGTCTGAGGAGAGATGGTGAGGGAGACCTCAAGATAAAGTACAACAAAACGATATTGGCAAGATACAAGAAAATCAATAAATATCAATGATATTTATCCGATTCACTACATAATTTGTCTGAAATCATTACATATTCCAAACTTGTTTTTTTTATTTTTTGAGAAATTTCAACTAAATATGAATGAATTGATATAACTATCCAGTGCGAATTTTCATAATTTCCCAATGAAGACAATCGTCATTTTTCATAAATTTACATGTTGATATTTTTACCTATATCAATATTTTAGACACTGAACACAGCAAGTAATATTACCATGAAATAAAATCCTTTATGACGAGCTTTGGCCGGGTCTAGATTAATGAAGAAGTAGGTTGCAGTCAACAGACTTGAACAGCAAACAAACGACACCCTTTCTACCAAGCGACGTCGCGACGGAGTGAGAGAAGAAGATTAGAAAAAAAGGACTGGAATCACCTCCGGATCCCAGCTTGCGGCGCCAGCTGACCGCAGCATCCCATCCTTCCATTTTTGATCATGTGATGAAGAATAATGAAAAAAAATTCACGCAAACCAAGGTAAGATGAAAATGAAAGATTAAGATGTTGTGGTCAGTCGGCTCCGCAGTTAGGATCCGACGAGGATCCGGATTCTAATAAAAAAAAGACATGGTAAAGAGGCAAGAGAGTATTAAATGAATGAGAAGGTCATGGGGCCCACCCAGGGGGCATGAATCTCGGAGAGGTTCATGCACCTGCCTCTGCCTCTGCCTCCTTCCTCCTTCCTTTCCAAAACAAGAAAAATAAAGTCCATAAACAAATATTAATTAATTAAACAAATCAAAAAATTCCTCCATTTATTCAGGTTGTTCTTTCTTCTCAAAACTTCAACTTTGTTCCCTCACCGACTTCAGTTTCTGCCCGGCTATCGAAATCCTCTGCAGGTCAGTTGGCATACAAATATTTGCTTAAAGCTCCAACCTTTGTCGACCCAAAAGCATTTTGTGTGGTTTGGATCGTGTTTTCTTTCAATGTTTCGGTAGATTTTATGGAAAACTCAATTGGGTATTTGTCTGTTTAGCAAATTCCCAGCTTAAAGTTGCATTCTTGGAAGCTGATATTTCAATTTTTTGAGCTAAACTTAAGCAGTTAGGTGCTTTTTTGGGCTGCAATATATATGTTGTAGGAAGTAGAAGATCAAAACTATTGGCAGGTGTAAGTTAGGCCGGTTGGCGCCCGCCCCTTGCATCCAAATGAGAATTCCCCTCTCGCTTAAATTAGAGTAGTTTAGAATATAATATCGTATTGTTAAAAAGAAAAGAAAAGAAAAAATGATCAAACCATTGAAGTTAACAATGTTCTTAATAATCCCACATAATCTTTAATCTTTTGTGCCTAGTACTTTCCAAGTTTTAGTTTGTGCATCCTAGATTGGATAATGTTTATGTTGTCCTGAAGGTGCCTTTGTTTTCGTTTACCGGCAGATTGAACTGATGTGCTAATTGTATTCGGAGACGGAATCAGTATTCTGAAGGTGTAGTTTGACATTTGGGATGCTTTGAAAGAAAAGATTGAACAAAGTTTATGCGGCACTTTAGATTTCGTATGATGGAGCTGAAAGAAGCGTATGACATGGAGCATTTGACCTCTACGCAGAATATTGAGCATGAGCTGTGGCCTCTCACTGAAATTGATCCGAAGAAAGCAAAGTTTCCCTGCTGTATAGTTTGGACTCCGCTTCCGGTAGTCTCCTGGTTGGCACCATTCATCGGACATGTTGGCATTTGCAGGGAGGATGGAGCTATTTTAGATTTCTCTGGTTCCAATTTTGTGAATGTTGATGACTTTGCATTTGGTGCCGTAGCCAGATATCTCCAAATTGACCGAAAACAGGTAATGTGCCGTGTTGTTCTCCTTCCTCCTGGCTCCCTTAATTCTTGTGAGCTTACGGTCGCACTCTTAAGTTTATTCGTTAGTTTGGTCTTAACTTGTTTGCGGTAAGTATTTTAGTGCATCTCTTGTCGATTGTCTGTCAATCGATGCGTGAAGAACAATGCTTTTGAGGTCGCAAGACGCATTTATAGGAACGCTTTATATCGATTTGTTTCACTTTAAACTTCAATTTTTTGTGCCCTTTCCCAGCTAGATGAACAAACAGTTACAAGATGTAGGCGAATTTTGTTTTCTTACCGTGTTTTTGGTTGGTGCGTACAGTGTTGCTTTGCCGCAAATCTGGGTAGCCACACTTGCAAGCATGGGTACAAGCATTCAGAGTTTGGGACTGCATTAACATGGGATGATGCCTTGCAGTCAAGTTCGCGGTACTTTGAACACAAAACCTACAACCTCTTCACTTGCAACTGCCATTCATTTGTAGCCAACTGTCTCAATCGGCTCTGCTATGGCGGATCAATGAGTTGGAACATGATCAACGTGGCAGGCTTAGTACTGCTCAAGGGGCATTGGGTTGATGCCACGTCCGTCTTGAGGTCATTCCTCCCTTTTGTATTGGTGCTCGCTCTTGGTGTTGCCATGGTTGGATGGCCATTCGTTGTTGCGCTTTTCTCCTTCTCACTCCTCCTTCTGGTGTGGTTTATACTGGGCAGTTATTGTTTCAAGACCTTGCTGGAGTGCTAGTTCCTACTATCACAATGTCGAAAAGTTTAAGAGAGTAAGCAGGATGTTATGGGGTAATTTTCCTCTTCATGTCTCTAGTTCCTGATGCAATTTTGCTAAATGTTTTTTTTTTGTGAATAACGCTTCTGATGTCAACTGGGTCGATTTATACAATTGTAGATGAATGATTTAGAAAGCTTATCTACTTTGTGCAGTCTGTGACATGCTCGCATTATGATTTCCGAACGAGTCAGGGAAACCCATGTTTGGGGAGTGTTAGGTTCTTTTTATGGACTTTCGGTTATGGAAAACAATGTATTTGTTGCAGTTCTGCTTCAAATCAATAAAACTCTCTAATTTTACGTCACATACATCATCGTGCCCCTTTTGCTGTGGGGCGATCGAAACATCATCCAGTTTTAGGTCACATACAGACTAGTCTTGTTACATGCAGAGTCCGGTAAGGCAAGGCGCAGTTAAGAGTTGCTTTGAATAACACTGTGGCAGCATTTGAGACGAGCAACGGCAAGCTCTGACCCTCCGGTTTATCTTCCGTGCTTATGTGAAGAAACTCATGCACCGTCTGGTATGCCTTCTCTGCTCTTTATCTCATGCTCCGTACTTGGGGGCCTTCCAGAGCTTAAAGGCCACTTCGTGCAGAAACCTATCTGCCGGTATTACAAGATTTCCACCACGCTGCCCGGAAAAGAACAAGTTTCAGAATTCATTTGTAAAAGTGCACTAAGCCATTCTAGTTAAGTGAAAGCCGAAATCTTTGAACTCGACGTGAGAATATAACCGGACAATCGAAGGCTAGTTATCAGTAAATCCCTTACGAAATCCAGCATTGTCATGCAGTAGACTCAACATCTGATAAGCTAAACAGTACCTCCTTGAAGTCTTTAAACGAGAATGTCTCGGCCATGTTCTTGCGGGTTACGGCATATTGCCGCTGAGCAATGGTCCCTGTTCACACAAAGAATGCTGGAGTTATAAGGTATATCGAATGGAGCAAGAAACCACTAAGTCTTCACTCACCTAACATCCTCCCGAGGATTCTCTCCTTTCACGGTGTAACTTTGACGAGGAACGATCTTCGAAAGTTTAGAGTTTTCATCATCTCTTCTAATCGAGACTGACAAGTTGGTATCTTCGTTTTCTGAGACCTTCCCAAAGCTCAACACAACAGACAAGTGTAAGCGGGAACTGACCTCAGATCCAGGCTGGTCTATTTGTGATATACCACCAACCAAAGCATTGAGATATTCCACCTCACCAGCCCCAACATGAACAAAAACCAATTCATACTGACTCGACTCCGCTGCCTTCCCTTCTTGAAATCCAAGCAGCTTAAGTAATTTAGATGCCCCGAAATCAACTGGCTGTTCAGCACCGGCTGGACTGTTTTTAAGAAAACCGTCAATTTGGAACATGCTGAGACCAAGTTTGGTACCAAAAGATTTCAAACTTGAATTATTTGTAAATATAGCAGCTTTCATCCCCATGAACCTGAAGCATTATAAAAGACACAACTTATTAACTATTTGACATTGGGTTATCGAAAGTTAATGACTTTTTGCAACAATCCAAAGGGACGACCCCAAGCCAACAAGGTTCCCTGCTTTGCGAGGGTCAAGGGGAATGTCTGTCGTACGCAACCTTATTTTTGATCTGCAAAGAGGCTATTTCCACAACTTGATCCCATGATATTTCAGTCACAAAAGAGCAACATTTCCGTTGCGCCAGGGTTTTCGAAACATCCGAAATTGTAGTACCTTTCTGATATGGGAATCACGGATTTCTTCCCTCTTTCTTCTTCATACGCATCCAACAGCACTGCAAACTCTCTAACTATTCTCTCATCCTCGCTTTCTGCAATCTAAACTCAAGTAAATCCCAATGCTGAAAAAGCAGTAAAAAGCATGCCAAAATAACAAACTTGATTAAACCCACAAAAGCAAAGCTAAAATCCATGATTATCTACGTTTTTAATTAGTTTTTTTTAATAAGAAATCAATTGGGATTATTCCTTAATAGTGACAATTACTGTATCTATTGTTCAAAGGTAAGAATGTGCACAAAAAGAGATGGAGATTGAAAACCTGAGGGAGGGGCAATGGGGAGGCTCAAGAATCCACATGAAGCTTTGGAAGCGAGAGAGTGGAGATGGGTATATGACGGGTCGACGAACCGGGCCAACCCATCTCCGTACAGAACCAGAGCTCGGCTGGGTTTGTCTGCCATTGCTGTATCCATGAGAGGAAGATGAAAGATGCGATTTTTGGGAAAGCGTAGGAGTCTGATTCCTGAATTATGAAATATGAAGAGTAAATCATAAAGTGGTGTTTCAACTTTAACTGAATTAAAATAATAGTTTCTCAATTAAAATTTCATTAACATTGGTTTCTTAATTTATCAAAACATACAACTATGGTCATTTTTGTCAATTCCTTTAGAACTTTTGTCAAAATGAGTTACGTACCTGTTGACCCTAAAAATTACAAAGTCTACGTGGCACGTAGGCCAAGTAACTAATAAACTAACTACGTCATTCGGTCGATGCGGGGCATGCCAACTCGTTGGTCGAGCTCGGTCGAGGAGTAAAATTTGTTGATGTTGTGTTGAGCACGCTGCTGACTTCTTATTCTTGCGATTGCGGCCGAGGAAGGAACACGTCTCAACCTTCGGATTCTCGAACCTGAAGACAAAGCTACTAGTTCTGCGAAGTTCACGAATTGTCGGCGCCTGGTTCGGTCACAGTGATTACATTCGTAAGAGTATAAACACGTCGAACAAGCTCCAAACTATACGGACACATGTACTCAAAAGAGATTTATGTCTTGATGGTAAACGTGGTTCGGCCGTCAGAATGCCAAACTCTGAAACTCACCTGTGAGTATCCAATCATAAAATCATTCGGCGTTCAATGCGCCAAATATAGTAACTTGTGACACCTTACTTCGTCGAGAACGCTAATAAGATGACATCTACCGATAAGGATTCAGAAACCCTTCTCGACCGAGACTTAGATAGGTAACCAGTCGGCATCGACGCAGTGCTGTTAATCTAAACTGAAGGTGTTCCCCAGTTGCCTTCATAGTGCTGTTTATCCAAACTAATGTCTTGGCGGAAAAAGAAAATAAAAAAAATCTCAAGATGTTTGAGAGGTTTGCGCAGGGCAATTTGTTTGTTGAATTGGAAAGGGCCTCCATGTTGCATGACCTCTTGTATTTATAATGTTTGTGTCTGCTCGCAGCCTGATGGTATTTGTAGAATTCAATTGTAACTCAAACTCTTGGAAGGGAGACTGATCCGCGTGTCATCTATCCGAGCCTATCTGCGCTTATCACATCACCACCAAAATCCTATCCCATATAGGCTTCTTATCAAAATTTCATCTCATGCATGCATCTCATCAGACCATCTTGAACAATTCCGAGCCACGTGCATAACAACATTTATCCATCATCATTATCACCCACTTTTAAATGAATAATAATAACCAAAAAAACCCAATCCTATCAACAACTTTCAAGCGACCTTGGGCAAACAAACAATATTAACCAAAATGATAATGATTATAGCATGCCACGTGCTGCTAATCATTCCCAAAATGCTGATCTTTATCCCTTAGTTCCTAAAACTTCCCAAGTGGAACCAATCAGTATGGCCACATACCACGTATCCAAAATTACTTTGAATTGCACTGTTTTTGGGTTAAAGATTCTTTGTTCGCATCCAACTCATCTCGTTTTTTCCCATCCGATGATCTAGAATTATACTCAACCAATGGCCTTGATTTCATGGGCCAATGGTGTAATTTTAGGTCCAAACAGTACCATGCACATGAAACTGAATTAAGGGGCAAATATAGTAAATCAAATAAGAAAAATTGTATCAATAGTCTTTTAACTTTAATCCAACTGGAGAAATAGTCCCTTAATTTTAATTTAATTTGAGTAATGGTCCCTCAACTTTAACCCAATTGTAGCAATGGTCCTTCCAACATAACTCATTTTGACAAAGTTGAAGAAAATAACTATAGCTACACGTTTTGTTGAGTTGAGAGACCATTGCTTCAATTTAATTAAAATTTAGAAATTATTGCTATAATTACTCAAATATGAATGAATGGGAGGAGAATATTTTGCTTGTGGTTAGGGGTGGGCATAAAAACCGTCAAAACACAAAACCACATCGAACTGTATGGAAAAAACCGAAAAGAATCACATTGACCGAAAAAGTTAGCTTTGAGTCAAAAATTGAACTGGACCGATTCAAACCAATTTCGATTTCGATTTTGAAGGAACAAGAACTGGTCGAAATCAAACCGAACCAGTTTATTATTAATAAGTTAATTAGTTAATTATACATACACACACACACACACACACACGTGTCATGGTATAATAGGTTAAAAATTAGGGCTCACCCACCCTCAAATGTTTTTGCTTCTTGTTGTTGTTGCTGCTGCCAATATCAGGGGACCAATATAGGAAACCGATGCTGCTTAAGTTCTTGATTTTTTTTGTTTGCTGACCGACCAATGCATATTTCTTTTAAATTAAGGTTCTAAAAAACGCTAGGAGCTAGTCGGGTGGCGAACTGAAGCCTAGCGCCTTTGGCAGGGTCTAGGCGGGTGACTAGGCAGATTTAAGTAAATTCATTATATTTTGTATAAAGAAGTGTTTGTTTATATTTAATATATAATTTCATCATAAACTACAAAATAAAATAACATATGTATTATGAAGTATTAGAACATAATGAAAACATAGGGAACAAACATATACTGTGTGCTCATTTAAGTATTCAACAAATCTCTTACAATTTATTGAAAAAAATTAAATGCAAATTGAAAGTTATTTATTTTCTGTCTAAGTGAGTCACAACGTAGGTAAGTGCCTAGGTGGGTCTGGACAGACTAGGCGGTCTAGTCGAGCGCCTCAACTAGTCTAGACGCCATTTCTTAATTTTCAAACGCCTAGGCATTAATCGGGACGGTGGCCAACTGCCGAGCTCATAGGCGGAGATTTTTAGAACAGTGTTAATTGTCTCTTTTTGTTAACTTGGTGCCACTACCAAAGACATTTGCATTAAAAATTATTTGTGTTGTATGTAACTTTATATAATCATTTTAGAAGACATATGTGAATGCATGATGATTTGGTGTTTGAATAATTTAGTATTCGGAACGGTAAACCGGCAAGAATTGAATTGGAACCGGTATAGACTGAACCATACGATTCTAGTAATAAATTTAAGCGGAACCGCATTGAATCGAATCATTGATATTTTTCGATTTCGATTCCAGTTTAGGGGTGGAACCTCACCGTGCCCACTTCTACTCATGGCGTGATTTGGAGGTGGTAGTAGCAAAATCCAGATGCCTCTCAAGGAGAGATAATGGTAAAAATGCTACCTTTGTTCAAAAATAAAAAGCTTCAGTCGAGGTAACTTTTAGTTGACATTGTGTTAGTAACAGTTTATCACATTTTTTTGCCATTGTCAATCACGGGCTTGTTTGGAAGTGTTTTTAAAACAACTAAAAACACTTCTACATAAAATATTGGGTTTCAAAAGTACCTTAATTTCTTTTTAGGATTCACATGCGTTTTTACTCGGTGATAGTTCTAAAAACATTTTCATTAAAAACCCTCTCAATTATTTTGAGACCACTTTCAAACAAGCCCTACAACTGTTTGAACCAACTGTTTGAACAAAACCCAAAAATTGCATTTACCTTGCTGATACTGTAATCAAACCTCTGAATGGCTTGTACTGAGTTGGACTATTCTATTGCCCATTAATTTTACCGTAAAACTTAAGGGCCTATTTGGTATCCTATTTGAAATTTTTTATCATTTCTCAAAATATTTCTTAAGAACATTTCTTAAAAACAATTTTTTTTAGGACTAAAAAACTTGATAGGTTTGCGATTTAAAGATTTTAAATCTTACGACTTAAACTAGACAAAGAAATCCAAAAAGAAGGGGTCATAGGAGAGGGAGAAAGAGGAGAGATAAGGAAAAAAAGTAAGAAATGATGGAAGGAAAGAGAAAGAAGAGAGAGAGGATAACGAGATAGTGACGAAGATGAGTGAGAAAAAGAACCGAGAGAATGAAGAGAGCAGATTGGAGAAGAGAGGAAAAAGGTAAAAATAAAAAATAAAAAATAAAAATAAAAAAGGAGAGAGAGAAAGAATAAAAGAGAGAGAGATTTGGAGTGAGAGGGGATGATGAAGAGAAAAGAAATGAGTGAATTTAAATTTAAAACCTCTAAAACCTACAGGAATGAATAGTAGGGAAAATGTGAATATGATGCAAACAGTAAATGCACCAAAGTTGGAAGAGGTCCCACGTTCCAACACCCCTCCTCCCCCTAACTTTCTTGACTTACCCTTTGAGAAACAAGTACTAGAAAACTACTTAGTACAAAAAACATCATTATTTTTTTTAGTACAAGTACAAAAAACATTATTAAATGTATAGGGTATAAACTATGCTATCAATTAATTTAATTTACAAGACCAAGTCTCATGCTAATTAATCTGTTTAATTAGGTTGTGACTGATATTTAACACTTATGTAGGTCAAGAGAAATCAATCAATGCAGTTATTAAAGTCGGCACACTAAGAGCCAAAAGATGAAGACGATCCATGTTGACAGTGAACACCTTCAAGTCTTCCACTAGGACACTTCCGAGAAAAAGCCTAGCACAATCGAGTTGAGCTACAAGGGCCAAGGTTGAACACAATAGGAGTGAGACAAAACTCTAGCACAAATTCCACTAGGATTTGAAGCATTGGCCATGGTGCCATAGGTATTCAGACATCCAATGCCTATGTAGGATATCCACGCACCTATTTGTACTTCTTCCACATCACTATTAATTTTTAATCGTCAGATCAAATGAACTGAAGAATATCAAATGAAAAATATTAACAAGAGTGTGGGAATTAAAAATGAGTGTATGAATCCTTTATTATGAAAGCCAAAGGAAAATTGAAATTCTAAAAGCGAGAAATGCTAAGGAGACTCTTGTAAAAGCGGGTTTATAAGCTCACTGCCACCTCATGTTTTGACACAATTTTTTATAATGTTGACATAGAAATTGACGTTGAATTGTGAGGTGACAGAGTATCAATGGACTTTCCATACATTCTTCATTGATATTTTCTCATCCCCTCCAATTGTCATACATTCTGCAACTACGAAACAATTAATATTAACCTATCAATCCACTTCACTCACACTGTATCGACACATTGACTCATTACACAAGGTTTCATGCTTTTTCAAATAGCATTTTCTTACAAGAAGATTTGAACTCTGAAAATATACTATTTAGATAATATTTTTGTACAACAATACATTTACATTAAGATGATAGATAAATATAATGGTTGTGAACTCGTCATTCCGATATTTAAACCTAATACTTCTCACTTTCAAGTAAAAAAAATATCATTAGACCGGAGAGTGCCCAATTTTAATTTATAACTGCATTTTATAAAATTCGGCACCCTAAGGGCCGAACAATATATTGGCAATCAATCTAATTTTTAGTTTTTCATGATTAGCTTTTCACAATTTTCTTCATCTAGGGGGTTTAGGAGAGCAAGACTCCAACCATCTCTTTAGAATCTCTCTTTCCACAAAAGGTTTAAAAATTCCAAAGAGTACAGAGTAAACACTATAACACTGTATCAATCAAACTCATTTATATTTGTCGGGAAGACAATGTTGTTCCAAGCAGAAGAAAAAAGAATATTGTATTTTTATTTTCTTACACACCTATTTTTATATTGTTCATTATTTTTGTCTAATCATTTATTTTAATAGTCAAATATAAAATAAAATATGTGAAAAGCTAAAAATGACGTGTGATAATTAGCTTCCCAAGCAAAATTGTGATTCAAGGCTGCAGTGGAACAAGGGAACAGATTTTTCATGTTGGGAGCTTGAAAAGACTATTGAGATTGAATAAGGTTTAAAAAAAAATTTGTGTTGTAAAAGTTATGGGTGAATGCTCACATACTTTTGACAAAAGATGAGAAGACTTTAGAATAGTGATCATGTTGTTGTTGTGGGAAGTTTTCAAAGAAAACTCATTTCACTTTTGTAAGTTTTCATGGAAGTGGCTCTATTTAAAGAGCATTCCGCGTGTGATCACAACACACTGCAAAAGAAAAAAACTGAAAACAATAATATCAGTATCTCTCACTTCCTTTTTTTACGTGCAATCCTTTTGTGTTATAGTTAAGAAACTAAACAGTGTGATATTTTGCACCCACTTCGCTTACGTCCTTATCAAAAGTTCTCTCTCTAACTTTTGCCTATTTATAACACGTTATCAGCACAAGTTTGTTAAATTGTGGTATAATTGCCCATCCTGCTCTGCATATTTAAATTTTCCTGTTGCTTGAGTGGGACAGTATAATCGCCTATCCTATGCTATTTTGTTTCAATAAAAGTGGTGCGGTACAATCTTCATCCTCATTAAGCATGTAAATCTTGAGCCTGAAATTTCAAGTGCTTATCATTTTGGTTTGAAGATCAAAATGAAAAATTTGTAAGAACTAAAGCTCTAACACTACATTCCTCCAAAATACATATTATTGCAAATTCTACCACATCTCATTTTTCTTTCAGAAAAGAAAATGGCGAACTTGGCAAAGCTTGGTTTTGTTGCCCTGGACATTACTAGGAATAATTACCTGACCTGGGTAGTGGATACCAAAATCCATCTAGAGGCAGAGAATCTTGAAGAAACCATTAAGGAAAAAAACAGTGTATCATCTCAAGATCGGACGAGTGCCCATGATGTTTATCCGTCGTCACCTTGATGAAGGATTGAAGAGTGAGTACCTAACTGTTGAAGATCCATTAGCCCTCTGGAAGACATTGAGAAATAGATACAATCACCAGAAAATGGTGATTCTTCCAAAGACTCTTTATGAATGGCTGCATCTAAGGATCCAAGATTTCAAGTCGGTGGCTGAGTACGATTTCATAATGTTCAGAATTAGCTCTCAGATGAAGCTTTATGGGGAGACCATCACTAAGGAAGATATACTGGAAAAGACTTTCAGCACCTTTCATGCCTCCAACGTGCTCCTGCAACAGCAGTATAGCGAACGAGGCTTTATTGAGTACAACCAGCTGATATCGGTGCTCCTTATGGCTGAACAACAATGAGCTTCTGATGAAAAATCATCAGTCCCGACCTACTAGATCGACACTATTCCCAGAAGTGAATGATGATTCTCTCGAAGTGAACACCACGTCATTTCATGGCAATAATTACAAACGAAGATGTGACCACAAACGAGGTTGGTGGAACGGGAAATGCAAAAATCATGGTGTCCAGTTTTACAATCATGTTCCAAGGCATAATTCAGGTCTGAACTTCAAAAATGTAAATCGCCACAAAGGTAAAGCTCATATGAACAACACTCATAAAAACCTTGAATGAGCATGTCATAGGTATGGTGGCAACAGACACTGGGAGCGTACCTGTCGTACCCCAAAACATCTGATGGACCTGTATCAAGCCTCCCTCAAGGAGAAGGGTGTCAAAACCAATTTCCTCAACCATGCTAAAGCAATGGATATACCTGATCTAGTATTCGATTTATCAGGGCAATTAAATACAACACACCTAGATGTCTCGAACTTTATTGTGGAAAGAGGGAATGAAGTGCATTGGTCCAATTGAATCATTTATGTTTGATGTACATTTATTATTCTGAACTTGTAGTTTAAAGCTCACATTTCAATTCAATAAAAATGGCATTTCAATTTCCTTTTATTATGAATAAACTGTTTTTAACTGTGATTCTTTCACTCAGAGAGCATGAAAAAAAAACTATGGTTATTCTCAAAACAAGAGCAATGACAGAGATATTTGTCTTGTAGACAGCACAACCACACATACAATACTTTGAGATCGAAAATATTTCTCAAGCTTGATGCTTACAAAGTAAAGGCAACAACAATATTCGGTCAATCAAATGTAATTGAAGGCTCAAGAAAAACCCAAATCATGTTACCAAATAAAACAATATTGTCCATACAAAATATGATGTATGCTACTCAATCTACTCAAAATTTATTGAGTTTTAAAGACACACGTTTAAATGGATACCACATTAAAACGAAAAGTGTAGAAAATGTGGAATATCTATGCATTACCTCCAATGATATCCAAAAGCGTACATTGGAGAAATTGCGTGGTTTATCGAGTTAATTGTATTATACATACATAAAGACAATTGAAGCATATACTGTCATGAATCAGAAGTTCATTGATTCAAAAATTTACATGCTTTGGCATGACCGTCTGGGTCATCCAGGATCCACTATGATGCATAAACTCATTACCAACTTTAATGGACATCTGTTGTTGAACAGACACATTGCTATATCAAATGATAACCCTTGAAATGCTTGTTCTCAAGGAAAGTTGACACATTGCTATAAAGATTGATGCTGAATCCCTATCATTTTTGCTAAGAATTCAAGGGGATATTTGCGGGCCTATTCAACCACCTTGTGGACCATTTCGATATTTTATGATTTTGGTTGATGCAAATACTCGATGGTCACATTTTTATTTCTTATCTACTCGAAATGTAGTTTTTGTGAGACTTCTTGCTCAGATAATTAAGTTGCGAGCACAGTTCCCAAATTATCCTATCAAGTTAATCCAACTTGATAATGCTAGTGAATTTACGTCTCAAACCTTTGATGATTACTACATGATACTAGACATTGATATTGAACATCCTGTTCTTCAAGTCCATACTCAAAATGGTTTAGCAGAATCATTTATCAAGCGGCTTCAATTAATAGCTCACCTCATGAAAACAAAATTGTCAATCTTTGCATGGGGATATATCATCTTACATGCTACATCATTGGTTCGATTAAGACCTATAACTAACTACCAATACTCCTCAGTACAACTCGTGTTTGAGCATCAACCAAACATTTCACATTTATGAGTTTTTGGTTGTGCTGTTTATGTGCCTATTGCATCGCCACAACGCACTAAAATGAGACCTCAGCGTAGACTGGAAATTTATTTGGGTTTTGATTCACCATCTATCATTGGATATTTGGAACCCTTGATAGATGATATGTTTACAACTTGTTTTACGGATTGTCACTTTGGTGAGACAATCTTCCCATCATTAAGGGGAGAAAAGACAGTTCCAGAAGAACGGCAATAGCTGACATGGGTTGTACCCACCTTATCTTATTTTGATCCACGAGGCACTCAATGTGAAAATGATCATTCATCTTCAAAGTATTGCTAATCAAATGCCAAATGCATTTAATAATACTACGAAAGTGACAAAATCACCCATACCAACTGCAAATGTGCCTGCAAGAATTGATGTTCCCGTTAGACAAAATAAAGTGGCAGCGAATGATTCATTTGGTGCACACCTGAAGCGTGGTAGACCCCCAGATTCAAAAGATTTAGCCCCTCGAAAAAGAAAGATTAGGGTACAATTGAATCCAAATGAAATCATTCAGAAAGAGAAAATGAATGACAAATCCACAATTCATGATTCTGTACTTTCAAAAAAGGAAAATGTCCTTGATGGGACACATGTTCCTAAAGAGACAAAAGTACATGAAAGCAAAGAAATTTCTATAAATTATGCATGTACTAATGAATTGCGAGATCGAAATGAAATAATCTTCAACGACATATTCGCATTCACAGTAGCCATTGAAATCATATTAAGCGATGATATTGAGACTCGCTATGTTGATGAATGCAAACAGAGACAAGATTGACCTAAGTGGAAAGATGCAATCCAAGCAGAATTAAATTCCTTACAAAGGCAAAGTGTTTTTAGACCGGTAGTCCAAACTTCGCCTGGTGTAAATCCCATAGGTTAAAAATAGGTATTCACAAGAAAACACAATGAGAAAAAGGAGATTGCAGGTTATAAAGCAAGACACGTTACATAAGGTTTTTCACAAAGACCTGGAATTGATCATGAGGAGACATACTTTCCTGTAATTGACCCAATTACGTTTCGTTACTTAATAAGTTTGGTGGTTTCAGAAAAATTTGATATGCGACTTATGGATGTCATCACCACATATCTATATGAAGAATTAAATATTAACATATATATGAAGGTCCCAGAATGAATTAAGTTGCTTGAAATGACTAACAAACCACGAGGTATGGTCTCAATCAAATTAAGACGATCATTATATGGCCTGAAACAATCTGGATGAATGTCGTATAATCCTTTCAATGAGTATTTGATCAAAGAAGGATATACCAACAATGTCATTTGCCCTTGTCTGTTCCTTAAGTAATCAAATTCTGGATTTGCTATAGTGGCAGTATATGTCAATGATATGAACTTAGTTGGAACCGCTGAAGAGCTCAATAAAACTGCTGAATATTTGAAAAGCGAATTTGAAATGAAAGATCTTGGGAAAATAAAATATTATCTCGGCTTGCAGATCGAGCATTATGCTAATGGAATTTTGGTCCATCAATCAGCTTACATTGAAAAAATCCTGAAACGATTTGGCATAGACAAAGCTCATCCACTTAGTATGCCAATAGTCGTTCGTTCTCTGGACATTAAGAAAGATCCATTTTGTCCAATAGAAGATAATGAAATGGTCATTAGTCCAGAAGTATCATATCTGAGTGCAAATGATGCTTTATTATATTTAGCACAATGTACTAGACCGGATATGGCTTTTTTAGTCAACTTGTTAGCAAGGTATAATTATGCTCCAACAATTCGTCATTGGAAGGAAGTCAAAGATATTTTACAAAACCTTCGTGTGACAACAGACATGAGTCTCTTCTACTCAGAGAAATCCACAAATGACCATATTTTTGTCGGATATGCAGATGCTGGTTTTCTCTATGATCCGCATAAAGCCCGCTCACAAACTGGATATGTGTTCACTAATAGAGATACATCAATCTCATGGCGCTCAACAAAGCAAACATTAGTTGCTACATCTTTCAATCACTCAAAAATACTTGCTTTACATGAAGCAAGTCGTGAATGTTCTTGGTTAAGATCAATGATCCATCATATGTGGAATTCATGTGGTCTACCTTCAAAGAAAGACACTCCAACTGTCATTCATGAAGATAATGTAGTATGTGTTGTCCAAATGAAGGAAGAATTCATCAAGGGCGATAAGACTAAACACATATCTCCAAAGTTTTTCAATGCACATGAGCTTCAGAAGGCTAAAGTTATTGAAGTCAGACCAATCTGTTCCAATAAAAATCTGGCAAACCTGTTCACCAAATGTCTACCTAAATGCACATTTCAGAAGCTAGTGCAAGGTATCGGATTACGTTGGCTTACCAATTAGTTAAATTTGAAGAATACAGAATCAGGGGGAGCCTTCATGATACATGTCTGTTGTACTTTTTTTCCTTCGACTAGAATTTTTCCCACTGGTTTTTCCTATCAAGGTTTTAACAAGGCAACACAAGCATGCTTAACACTATATCAACAATCCAGGTAATGTTATACTCTTTATCCTTCGCTATGGTTTTTTCCCAGTGGGTTTTTCCGAGTAAGGTTTTAACGAGGCAACTGTTGTTGATATTATAGGCATCCAAGGGGGAGTGTTGTAAAAGTTGTGGGTGAATGCCCACATGCTTTTGGCAAAAGGTGAGAAGATTTTACAATAGTGGTCATGTTGTTGTATGAAGTTTTCAAAGAACACTCATTTCACCTTTGTAAGTTTTCGTGGAAGTTGCTCTATTTAAAAAGCACTCCGTGTGTGATCACAACACCCTGCAAAAGAAAACAACTAAAAGTAATAATATCAGTATCTCTCACTTCCTCTTTTTATCTACTATCCTTTTGTGTTATAGTTATGAAACTAAACAGTATGATATTTTGCACCCGTTTCGTTCAAGTCCATAACAAAAGTTATCTCTTTAACTTTTACCTATTTATAACTTGTCTTTATGTATGTTATATTCCAAATAATTATGTTCTCTATCCTTTTATTTTAAAAAGAAAAAAACTAACATCTTGCTACAAACATAAGCGTGTAGCAATTGACTTTTTGATTGCTTTAATTGTATTTATTTTATGTTTATAGTTTTTTTCATTGAAATATACTTTGAACAATGATGAACTTACTAACCATCTCCATTTATATATATGGATTATCTTCTTGTTGTTTTAGCTACTTATTCAACGTGAATTCAACTGTCTTTATTTGAATTTTTAAATAGATGAAATTACGAAAAAACCAATAAATGTACAAGAAAATTTAAAAAAAAATTTGACTTTCCAGTCTAATGAAATATGAAAGAAAAAAACAGTCAAAAAAGAATCAGTAAAAGTTTCTGAGAAAATGTGAATGTCAACTGTTGCGGTCTTTAGGTTTTTTTTTTAACAAACGATATTATTTATACTAAGCGGAAAGAGGTGGTCTTATCTCCCAATGGATTAGCAATAATATGGTTTAACTCACATTTGGTGATAATCAAACCTAAAACCTCACTTATGATTAAAGAGTAATACCACTAGACCGTAATACTAAGTAGCATTGAGGCCTTTAGGTTAGAGTTTGTTAAACGCAAAGGTAAGCTTAGAAATTAAGGTCTATGGCATGGGATGATAAGCCTTAATGCATGCTGACTCGACAGCACAGCCGGACGACGACCAGCTGCCCAAGGATACTATGATTTAAGAGAGACATAAAGTGATCGAGAAGGAGGAGGAGGAGGCGGCTATTCAAAACCAAAATTTGGCATGGGATGGGAATCAACGTACGTATAAAGTCATGCAACGTTGAGTTGCCTCGGTTGCGTCGGATGCCTCAGTTGCCTGGGTGAGTGGGTGTTGCGTTGTCGGGTTAACGACGATGAGGTTCTGGTATTCCAACACTTGAACATTAATTACGCGTTTTACAAGCAAAACATTAGACTTTTTATACAAATTGCTTCGTGAAAAAAAAAGAAGGTAAAGTCAAGAATATGAGAGAATGAAATAACTCGTCTTTCCGGCAAATTGCTTCCGTTTAGGTGCGGTCTGCTTGGTTTTGAAATTTTTGTAGTTTTGCTTGTTTTATGGGAGGATATGTGGGCACATAAGAAAATATAAGATTATGAATGAGAATATTCAAGGTAAAGTAGGAGTAGCCGAAATTGAAGGAAAGATGAAAAAAAATCAGTTACGATGGTTTGAACATATAAAACGAAGGCTTACTGACGCTCCGGTTAAAAGATGTGATTACGGGACAGAGATTCAGGGCCAAAGGGGTAGAGAACCTAGGAAGATTTTGGAAGAAACTCTAAGAAAAGACTTAGAATACTTGGATCTAACGGAAGATGTGGCACAGAACCGAGAGTAATGACGTTTTAGGATTCATACAGCAGACTCCACTTATTGGAAAAATGCTTTGTCGTTGTTGCTGCTTGTTTTATAGGGCTTTTCTTTATAATTGTTCATTTTATTATGGGGAAAAAAATAATATGAGAAAATTAATAAGCATGAACTACCCACACAATCAACCAAAATTTTAGTTCGGGAGGTATTAAAAATTCCATATTGTGATATGAGACTTACAAAACGGTTGATTCGACCAGTTGTTTAGTGCATATGGTTATCCAAAAACACACATTATTAATAAACGTTGAGAATTTGACAAAAAGATAATTTTAAGACACGTTAATACGCTTTTCTTTTATTGAGAAATTAGTATTGATTTTGAGTAAATACACATGGTTTATATGGTCCAAAATGCCTAAGACTTTTCTTTTGACCAAACAACATTTTAAATTACTCTAATCTATTACAACGAGACTCAAACTCCTTCACTCAAATAAGAAGACGACAAACTACAGATCAAATCTCTTTATACCAAGAACAACGTACATGATATGAATAAACCGTCACATGATGTTTCATATCAATAAAATAAGAACACATGGACAAAAACTTATAGATATTTATTATTAAAGAATATCACTGTAACGATATACATGTATCATAGTATTTCTCCTATGTAAGTCTCCCTCTCCCCCCAAAAGATATAAAACGTCTAAGAACACAGTAAAACAGCGTAACACGGTATCAACCGGACCGCAAAAAGATCAAATCCAAGTCGTTTTTCACATATCCATTGACAAAGTCCTCATCCTCCTTCCCTCAGCTCAGCTGAGTGACTGAGTCAGCTCCTCGAACTCAACTCAACTGTGCCTTGCAGTACGCATACGGCGTATCTTAGCTTTCGTCACCATCTTTATTCCTTAAAATTTAAAAACATTTACCTTCAAATGCAGGACAAATTTTTAATTGTGAGGATATACTACGTGTTTTTATGTAAATAATATAAAATTTTAGTTTTTAAGTTATTAACTTTTTAACATATATATTTTACTATTTATATAATGATGCATGATGTACTACTTCGTGTGTCCATCGCACTAAAAAAATCTCTGCACAACATCAGTACTTTCAAGTATTAATTAATCTAAATTAAATTAAATTAAATTAAAGTGAATAAAAATGGAAGAACTAGAAGGTCGTCGCGTGCCTTGACATTGTGAACACACCCACATCATTCGTTGGGTCGTCGTCTTCTTCTTCTTCTTCTTCTTATCGGACTCCCCAAACCCTCCAACACCACCGACGACAACCTCGAACCGCAAAAGTCTCCCATTTAGTCATCTCCTAATCACATGATTATGTCTTAAACTCGAAGGATTATTGTTTTTTCCAAGTACTTTTTTTTTTATAAAATTCAACATGTTTGAATTTTAATTCTCAAGGAAATTCAGATCAAAGCGAGCGAGAAACGACGCAGCATCTTCCTCTTCCACATATGTAGAAAAAAAAATATAGATATTCTGATACTTCAAGACGACGGCTTTTAGCTTAAGCTTCTGCTACAAGTGCTTTTCTCGAAAGCCCAAATGCATTCTTCTTCGTTTCCTCTTCACAAACCCTGCAGAACTACAACCTCCTCCTCCCCTGGTTCTTCTTCTTCTTCTGCTACTTCCTCTGTTCCTGCTCTGAAACAGGACAGTGGTGGGGGCAGCTGCGACCAGAGCCCACGGCGGCTCACCCGGCAGAGGAAGCTCCGCCACCTCAACAGCCAGGACCTGGGTTCTACCCTCCCTGAAAAATCTTACTCCTCGCCTACTTCTCCGGAATATTCAACCCAGAAGTCAAGATCGCCGGGTTGCAGGTCCAAGTCAAACCACTGGTCTTCTGCGCCTGCTGCTCCGCAGCCCTTGCCGCTCCCTGAATCGCACGTGACCCGGAAACCCGAATTTGCTAAAGATGGGTACTTTGGCTGCAGGTAAAAGAGAAGCCTTTAGAATTCATCAGTTTTTTTGTTTGTGGGTATTTGATAAGTGCTTACTATGTGTTTGTTAAAATGCTGCACTGGGGTGGTTTTTTACTGTTTGAACTATCAGGAAGATCAAAAGTCACACAACCTCAGGATCTGCAGCGCCGAGTTCTTATTCGAGTCAAGTTGCCACAACCTCGGGAGGATCAGCAGCACCAGCGAGTGCCTATTCGAACAATCGTCGAGGGGCACTCTCCCAAGATGCTAACAGTGGTGGTGGTTTCTTTAACAACTTTGGTCTGAATATTCTTTCTAGGAAAGCTCTGGTGAATGGTGTATCAAGCCATCCTTTTAGCCCCCAAAGATCGAAAACGGTCGATAGTTATCCTATACTTGTTGCCCCCACTTCACCAGTTAATTGTTCAAGCAACTGCCATAGGGGAACGCCGCACGAATATGAAGCTTGCAACACCAGCAGGAGTGCTCCAACAAGTCCCTTTTCAAGTCCTGCAGTTAGTCCCAGGAGATCAAATCCCACGGCGGATTTTTTTTCTTCTTTTGGGGATCCCCACGAACAAAATCAGGACGCCTTTCCTCCAAGATTATCACCAAATAGACCTGCTCATAGCCCCAGCCATTCTCCCACATCTCGAAGTCCACGCTTCAACCAGAAAATTTCAAATGGAAATGCATTTCCTTTGCATTCTTTAGAGAGGACTGAAAGTATTAGCCAAGTCAGTGCCCACCCTTTGCCTCTGCCGCCTCCACCACAGCAGTCTGTCATGCAGTACAATGCAGAAGCTCTATCCACATCATCAATGAAAGGTCAATGGCAGAAGGGAAAACTTATTGGGCGCGGCACCTTTGGTAGTGTTTATCTCGCAACCAATCGGTATGCTAGTCCCCGGAAGCTTTGTGCTACTTTCTCTTGACTTTATTCTGCAATGATCATTATTTTGTTTTGTTCTTTTGAATTTAGCTCTTTTAAGATTTTCTGATTATATGACAGTGAAACCGGGGCCTTATGTGCAATGAAGGAAGTTGATGTCATTCCTGATGATCCTAAAGCTGCTGAATGTATAAGGCAATTGGAGCAGGTCCTTTTCTGGAGTCCTTTACCAGTTTCAATTCATAGAGCAGTTGTAGCTTATTGTTGTCTACCTTTAGATTTCTCTGGACCAACCAAATCTGCGGATTTAGGGAAAGTTTTGCATGTACTTGCACTGTGTCTGCATGTATCGATCATAGGAAGGAATGAGTTGGTCGATATTTTCTGTAGGATAGAAGGTCAAAACCCTTCATAGTACATCTCTTCGCGTATGAATTACATATCAGTTGTGCTCAACTATGCTACTGGACATTCTGGGGTAGCTTTTAATGTTTCCCATTCTGTTCTTACTAGCTACCTGTTGCAGGAAATCAAAGTCCTCCGCACTCTAAAGCATCCAAATATTGTGCAGTATTATGGTAGTGAGATGGTGAGTATCTTTCTTACATGTGAAAGTTTATTAAAATCTAATCTTTGCAAGTTTTGCTAAATTGGGAAGTATTGTTTATGCATATGCAGACTGATGATCACTTCTACATATATTTGGAATATGTTCATCCTGGATCAATTAATAAATATGTCCAAGACCATATTGGAGTTATGACAGAATCTGTAGTTCGCAATTTTACTCGCCATATCCTCTCTGGGTTGGCTTTTTTGCACAGCATGAAGACAGTTCACAGGTGATAATAACGCTTGGTAGCAGATTTATATAACAGATTGTGACATCACTTATCTGTTAAAAGGAGCTTGTTACTTCACAAATTGCCTCGGCTCAACAAATGATGAGACAAGAAGAACCTTAGGAAAAATGTTTTTCTTCAAAGAGAATATTTGGATATACTGTAGAGATTCTTAATATTTTTCCAGCCGGTTAAAATGGGTAAAACATTTGGAGAATCACTGTTGCATTCCTTCCAAGCTTTCTTTGCCTTATTAATGATGTTCCAATGATTATTCTAAAGAAAGGTTATTTGCTGATCATGTTGTATTCCTTCGGAGCTTACTTTGCTTTATTGACGATGTTTCGATGTTTGTTCTAGGGATATAAAGGGTGCAAATTTGCTTGTTGATGCATCAGGCGTTGTTAAACTTGCCGATTTTGGGATGGCAAAACTTGTGAGTAATAAATTGTAAACACCTTCAGTTTGCTATGGCTCCTGACATAAGCTTGACAAATCAATTTTTGAACAATCCAATTCATGACTCTGAGCACTCCCTGCAGTACTTTTGGGGTTTCATATTTAACTTACTTTTTGTATTCAGCTCAATGGGCAGTCGTACAATCTTTCTTTGAAGGGCAGTCCATACTGGATGGCTCCTGAGGTAAGCACAACATCATTATATACAAAATCGTAGATGGCCTGTAAACACTGTATATCGATTATATTTGCTTGGTTTGTTTCGTGCAGGTCATAAGGGCTGCAATGCAGAACAATGCTGATCCTGATCTTGCTTTGGCTGTCGATATATGGAGCTTGGGTTGTACCGTCATTGAGATGTTCAATGGAAAACCTCCGTGGAGTGACTTTACAGGAGTAAGTTCATGTTGAAACTTGTTATGTTTTATTCGTCATAGCTTTGGATTTTTTCAGAATATTGTCAACTACCCCTAGTTTCATGTGTACAGTAAAAATCCGACAACATGCGGTTCGAGAATGGCTTTATTGCTTTATAAGTTTTTAACATCATGTTGTCTTCCTTCTGCCAGCCTCAGGCTATGTTTAAGGTTCTAAACACCATCCCGGATATACCAGAAGCATTGTCTGCAGAGGGAAAGGACTTCCTCCAATGGTGCTTCCGTAGGAACCCTATGGAGAGACTATCAGCTAGTGACCTACTTGAGCATCCGTTTGTAAGAAATTCACCCGTCAGACCTTTTCAATCGTAAACCTAATAGTAAGTTTTCAATTCAACAACCATAGGTCAATGAAGTTTGGAAAACTAAATTTCAATGGAAACTAGAGCCTGAGAATTTTTTATATATGACCACTAAGTAGATATCTTGGCATTTTGCATGTGCACCATTGCAGGATAAATTGCATATATCGATCTCTCCACACACTTCTAATTGAGAGGTGGCTTTGCATCATTCTTCATCCTTGTCCCGAATTGCATCCCTAGTTCACAGTCTCCAGCCATAAGCGTTTAAAGGAACCATGGAGCGGAAGTCCCAAAACCTCTGAAATCGGAAGATATGGAACCAAATTTTATCTCACGTTCCATTTGGAAGAAGCCCTTTTCTTCGGGAATGCCAATGCGCAGCTCCAGCGGAGATTTTCCATTGCTTGGTGTGCCTCCGATGAAGTTGCATAAGCTTCACCGGTGAATCAACTGAGCGGGATGTGGAAGCTGGTGTCGAGTTGAGGACTTGGAGCTAACACGGCGGGTTCATAGTCGGGGAGAGGATCGATTTTTCCGCGGAGTTAAGATTATTAGTAGGGAATCCAGATAGAGACTTTATACTCACTCCCTTAGAACAGGTGATGGGAGCTGGTCATCATTAATTTGTAAATACCAATTTCTGTGGATTCTCCAAATAGGAACTTTGAAACTTTATTTCCCATGTTTGTGCAAAATGTTTGTGTAAAATGTCAAAAGATATTATCTAATTTGTATTTGGTGGCTGAGTTTTCGTTCCCCAATGAAGATGTTAGTTTTTTAATTTTTTTTTTTTTTGTTCGAGTGGGACCAATAGGTATAAATAAAATATGTTATATTTACTTTTCGGGGAAACTTAGGCCAATGAAAAATAAATAAGTTGTTCTGAAAGTGGTGAAAATATTTAAATAACATACTTTTTAAGTTTTCATTCGCCAATAAAGATTCTTGATTTTTTTGGTCCAAGTGGGACGCATACATTTGAAAAAAGATTTTTTTCGGATTTCTTCCAACAAATTCATCTAATAAATAAATCTGAATGTTTAAAATTTGATTCAACAGTTAAAGTTATTATAATTTTTAAAAGTGCTCTTTTTTTTTAGGTGTTAGATCAAATTTCAAGAGTTTGAATTCTTTGATTTAATGAATTTGGTGGAAAGGACCCGGAAATTCCTTTTCCATACATATTATATAAAACATTACTTTTTGGTGGGACTCAGTCAAACCAATGAAAAATAAGTAAGTTGCTTTGAAAGTGGTGGAAACTATCTGAAAAATCAAAACAAAGCATTTGACGGTAGCAGCTTGATATCAAATTCCCATCAACCTTAACAAATCGGTTAGAGAAACATCTGCTGTCAAAACATAATGTTGGAGCATCTATTGTAAAATCAAAGCCTCGGTTGGAGATGTTTTAAGTAGCTTGCAAAACAAAGTAGAAGTTCAAAGACAAAAGTGATACAAGGCTTATAGGTGGGTTTAGTCGGATCCCTTCTTTTTCCTGGGGATTAAGAGGTTTCTATGATCGTGTTAGTTTATCGTACATCATGCAGTCCGAAATCATTTAAAATTTAAAATTAAATATAAATAGTACACAATGTACAAAAAACGGATACGATTACAAGATCCTCCAGATCTCTAGAAAAAGAATCCAGTGAGGATCTTTTTCCGGTTTGGTCAAATTGAAAGTGGTGAAAAATATTTAAATAACATCTTTTGAGTTTTCATTTTCCGAAGAAGATTTTTGAATTTTTTGTTTAAGTGGGACCCATACATAAATATAAAATATTATTTTTTTGGTGAAACTTAGTCAAACCAATGATAAAGATCATTACTTAGCTAATCAAAGATGAGTAGGAACTCTTACTCAAAACTCTTAATGTTTTAATCATAGAGCTTTGAACTTATAATAAGAGCCGTTTATATTATGAATCACACTGTAAAGATCTTCTCTGCAAAAAAAAAATTAAAACTAAGGTCGTTTAGTCAATCTATTGTAGCAAATATATAGACGGTTCGTAATGCTTTTACCAATACTGTTCATTTGTTTTTAAACAATTTGATGAGGCGACCTTAGTTTTAATTAATTTTTGACAAAAGCGATCTTTATAGGGTGATTTATAATATGAACGGTTTTAATTATAAACATGAAATTTTATATATTGATAACGAACAATTTTGAAAAATTTTGAGTATGAATTCTTACTTATTTTTAAGTAGCTAAGTATTGTTTAGTGAAGAATGAATAAGTTGCTTTGAAAGTGGTGGAAATTGTTTAAAAAATCAAAAGAAAGCATTTGACGCTAGCAGCTTGATATCAATTCCACATCAACTTTAAAAAATCGGCTAGACAAACATTTGCTGTCAAAACGTAACGTTAGAGCCTCCACCATGCATTCAAAGTTTGGGTTGAAGATGTTCCAAATGTCTCGCAAAGCAAAGTAAAAGTTCAAAGACAAATGTGAAACAAGGCTTATCCGCGGGTTTAGTCAAATTGACCATTTAAAAAAATATAAATATCCACGAATCTTCCTTTTTTTCTCTTTTTTTATTTTATTTTATTATTATTTTAAAAAAGTGGGTACACGTGTTAACGGGTAAAGTATTGCGCGATTCCCTTTTAAAATAATTGGATTTATTTTATTTTTTTTCTTTTCGAATTTAATCGGTTTAATCTCACATTCTCATCAAATAAAAGCAACTCCAGCAGAAACTGGAGCCCGATGGACCGGCAACTTTGATGACCCAATAGCCCTAGCTATCTTCTCCAGCCCATGCGGGTGATTGGGCAAGGGGGCCCAAGTGAGAGGCCCAGCTCGAATTGGTGGCCTCAAAAGCTTGAGGGCCAGGTGATGCCACGCTGATGTCAGGGTGATATTAGCCACGATTTAATTAATTTTGCGTCAGGTGCGTGCATAAAACGTGCACGTGGGGGCGCATCCACAATAACTTTTCAAGCGATGGGGTCCACAACGTAAAGTTTTGAAATGTTACCGTTGTGGGGCACGTGGTGCGACGTCGTTCGTTGAATTTCAACAGATACCTTATCTGGACCGTTGGATTTCCAATGGTAAAAAAAAAATTCAAACCTTTCGCAAACGGCTAGACACGTGGCACAATATCAGCCGTTGGATTCAAGATCAACGGTCCACGTTATTCGCCTTTATAAATTTAAAAAAAAATTCACATTAAAAATTTCTAAAAAGTTATTGTTGTGTGGGTTGGATTTCAATTTTTTTTTAATCCAACGGCATAAATTAATTATGTTAATAAAAAATTAATAAAAAATCCAAAAAAAATTTTAAAATAAAAAAAAAGTTGATTTTACTTTTCTGTAAATACTTTCTCATTATCTTCTACCTTACACCACAATTTCATATTTTCTCAAATACTTTCAATCACATTCTAATCTTTCTCTCATAGTTTCAATCCAATTGGTTTCCAACAAAATGACTAATGATGCAAGTACGAATTGGACACTTATTAAAGATGTTACGTTGTGTTTTAGCTGGGTTGAAGTTACTCATGATCCAATTACGGGTAATGAGATGCAGTTGCGAGAACTTTGGAGTCTTATTCATACCAATTATCTTGAGAAAATTGGTGGGAAAAGAACCAAAAAATTGATGTCCAATCGTTGGAGAATACTCAGCCAATCGTTTAGTCTTTGGAGAGATGTCTTGGGCACAAGCTAGTAGTAATCTTCGAAGTGGGGAAAATTTAGCGGATCAGGTAGCAATATATTATTTATTTGTTTGTACTATACCCAAATTTACATTAGCTACTTTGATTATAATTATTTCTCCCGCATTATGTAGACACTTCAAGCACAAGCTTGGTATAATGCCAAAACCAAAAACAAAAACAAATCATTCACCCTGTGGGAATGTTGGAATATTGTCAAAGATTGTCCTAAATTTAGAGTTGTGCATGTCGATCCATAAGTTGTCATGAACAACACCCCTCTACACTCTACGCCTAATCATGCCTCGCGCGTTCATGAAACCGACACAGAGTAAATGCCGGAAACGCCCCCTGAACAAGCGTTGGGGTCGACCCGTTATCCAATTAGGCCTCAAGGTAAGAACGCTTCAAAGAGAAAAGGGAGTGCTTCCAAGAATGATTATGCAAAATATATGGAAGAACTTACTCGCTAAGGTGAATTGACTTTGGCGCGGGAAACAGCTAAATTTGAGGCTAATAAGGTTAGAGAAGAGGCAAAAGCTGCAACTGTTGAGAGATTATTTCAAGCTAATGAGAGAGAAAGAGAGCTACTTAGGCAAGAAAAGGAAGAGCTTAAAGAAGAAAGAAGGGCTCAACAAGATTGTGACATTATGAAGCAGCCTATATAGGCGATGTCTTCAAATTCTAAATATTTTTGGAATTCGGAGAAAGTGAACGTGGTGCGAAGTAGGTGTGCAAGAGAAGCGAGAGCAAGAGGAAATGGTCCTAGCCCCACAAGAGGAGATGATCCTAGCACCACCAATTGGTTAGGTTATGATTTTTCATTCACGAGGGACTAGGGAATTTGTTTTTTAATCAGAGCCCATAATTTTCCAATCACTTTGGGTTGTAATTTCTTATTTATTGAATAAAGTACCTTATGTTGTTTCCAATTTATTAAATTTAGTACTTTATATTTATTTAATTTGGTAATTTATTTAAACTAAGAGAATCTTTATTCAAAGGACATAAACACACCAAATAAAATTAAATAAACATACCAAATAAAATTACAAACACACTAAATAAATATTATAAAAAAAACTCACTAAATGAACTTAAAAAACACACCAAATAAAATTAAATAAACACACCAAATAAAACAAACACACTAAATGAACTTAAGTTTCTTAAGCTTGTTTCAATTTCCACTGGTGCTCTATCAAGTCAATCGTCGGGCATTGTGCATATATGGGTCTTGAAGTGCAGTATATCGTTGAATGAGCCTTTCATTGTAATGTCCATCCCTTTGTAATGGCTCGTGTTGCACAGGTTTTTCGGTGGCGTCATGAGCACGATATATTTGTGTTCTGGAATTGTTCATCGCGTCTGGCTCATATTTATCAACGACATCATAATCGTACTCGTCTTCCACAATCAAGTTGTGAAGAATGATGCATGTCATCATGATGGATCGAAGCGACTCTAAATCAAACATTCTGGCAACACCCCTGACAATTGCCCAACAAGCTTGGAGGATACCAAAACAACGCTCCACATCCTTCCTACACCCCTCTTGACAGCTTGCAAAGTGTTTTTCCTTTGCACTTCGCGGACGTGGCACTGTTTTGACAAACGATGACCACCTTGGGTAAATGCCGTCTACAAGGTAGTATGGCCCGTGGTACTTATATCCGTTGACCCAGTACGTGACTCTTGGTGCTTTTCCATGCAGGACATCGTTGAACACTGGGGATTGGGCAAGGACATTGAGGTCATTTTGAGTTCCCGAAACACCGAAAAAAGTGTGTCAAATCCATGTATCAAATAATGCCACCGTCTCCAAAATGATACGTTTTCCTCATTTTCTCTCCCCATAAGCTCATTGTCATGCACTTGGACAGTTTCTGCAAGTCCAGTGCACACAGTTGATGCTTCTAATCATCCCAGGAAAACCTCGCATCTCACCCTTCTTTAGAAGCCTTTGCAAGTCCATCTTAGTAGGTCTTCGGAGGTACTCTGTGATGTAGATGGATTCGATTACGGAGCAAAACCTCATTAGGACTCAAGAATGGTTGATTTCCCTATCCTCGTTATTTCATCCACTAGGTTTGCAGATGCTTCATATGCAAGCATTCGCAAGGCAGCAATGATTTTTGCTCAGGAATGAGACCTATAACACCAAAGGCATCCTTCTTTTACACAAAGTAAGAATCATGGTTGCAAACAGCAATCATGATTTTGTTGAACAAATGTCGTTATATTCTAAAACGACATTTAAAGTACGTATCAGGGAATGCACTGTTACAGACAAAATAATCGTCCAAGATATATGTACCTCGTCGTTGCCCACTTCTATTAATGTTTGCGGAACGGCTGGCCCTGAAGATCTAAGCCACAACATGACTTGACAGGAATGTGAGACTTTTGGGCTTCTTGCTTCATCATCTCTCCTTCTACGCTCCTCATCCTCATCCTCTTCGATCTCCTTTTCGCCCACCCAGAGATTGAACCTTTCTTTCCCTTGCTTAAACATCCCCTTGCTTAAACAATTATTTCTCTTGTTCATCGATTGCCCACAACATCCTTGAAGAAGACATTGTAAGAATGAAGCTTAAACTATGAATAATGGTAGAGATTTTGATTTTGGTGTGTGATTTCTTAGGATTGATGATGGGTTATATGGAGGAATAAGAAATGATTATGTTGTAGATAATGTCACTTGGCATGCCGTCATTCGTTAAAAATCTGATTGAAATCTATCCTCAAAGATTGTAAACATATTGTGACACGTGGCGCAATATGATTGGTTAAAAATCTTATCGGCAATCTATCCTTAACGATTCTGAAAATGTAACAACCCGTGGCACGACAACATTGGATAAAAATCTTATCACAATCTATCACCAAAAATTGTCTTTTCAACTAATGACACATGGCGCAACGAGAACGATTAAAAATCTTATCCGAAATTACAAATAAAATTATTTTGTATTATTTTATAAAATAAAAATACTAATATTTTATTGCCTATTGCCATGGCTATTCAATTTCGGGGTGGAGATGCAAAAGACAGTTACTATTTATTAAAGACAGTTACTGTTCACTGGACAGATTCAATAGTAAGTTGCCTTAGGGGGCCTTTGCAATTCTGGAGTTGCTCTAACGGGAATGATGCTTCTGTTACAGCAACAGCTCCAAGTAGCCATCTAACGGCTGCTGCTAGCAGCATGAACCCTAAATTCGCCATCGGAAGCCCCAAATTCTTCGATGGGGAAGCCTTTTTGCTACGGTATTCGATTCCTTTTTCCTTTCCTTTCCTAACTTTATCGCCGTTGTAGTTTGTCACGAAATCAATTTCGTTCTTTGATTTTTCGGTAGACGTAGGGAATGTTGAAGTTTCTCAAGGTCTGATCAATCGACTTTACAGCGACTTCTCTTATGGCATACATTTTGCAACGCCAACTTCCTCCTTGAGGGCCAGTGAACTTGAATTGGTAATCTTGCCTCTTGCTGTTAAATTTCTTAGAGCATCTCCAATTAAAATGTCAGAAGATAAATGTCAAATGTTAATTTGACGGCTGATGTGACAATGTTAGATTTTCTCTTTTTCTAATTGATATGTTTTTTTTTTATTATAAATAATATTTATAGGACCTATTTTAAAAATAAATAAATTAAAATAAATTTTTAAGATCTATAATTGGTATATTAATGAGATCCACACAATAAAATAATTAAAAATATGACATAACATTTTCTCATATGTCAATCTACATAGGATTGACATATTCGTTGGAATTTACTCCTACCTTTAAATTTGATTATATGCCATTCAACTTAGAATTTGACATCTTATTTGGAGATGGTCTTAGAGCATCTCCAATAGAGATGTCAAAAAATAAATGTCAAATATTAATTTGATGAGTGACGTGGCAATGTTAAATTTTCTTCTTTTTTTTTTCTAACCGATATGTTTTTTTTTTGTTATAAATGATATTTGTATGATCCATTTTAAAAATAAATCAATTAAAAGAAATTTTAAAGATTTATAATTGGTGCATTAATGGGATATGCATAATAAAATAATTAAAAATTATTTGACATCACATTTTCTCATATGTCAAATTTAACATATAAAAACTCATATATTAATCCATGTAGAATTGACATATCGATTGAAACTTACTCCTACCTTTAAATTTGATTACATCATATGACATTCCATTTAATATTTGACATCTCCTTCGGAGATGTTTTAAGTTTTGGTTTTACACTCAATGCACGATTTATGGACGGTTTGAAAATGCTTTTTTAAAAAGCACTTCTGCTCAGAAGAATTTTTGGTAGAAGTGCTTTTATTAGGAAGTTATTGAATCCTCGGAAAGCACCTCCTGAAGGACTATCCCGAGCAGATTACTTTTACATGTCGGATACTGGAACCGCGAGCTCCGAAAGTGTCGCTTCGAGACCGGGAAGGGCTTTTCTATGCAGAACAGACTGATTACAGTTAAGGATTTTGGTTTATTTATTTTTTTGAAGTAAAATATCACATATTAAAACAAATTAAATTTGCTATAAGGAATTGGAAATCTGGAGATTAAGAAAATTAAAAACAAAAAAAGGCCGAACACTCCTGTTTATCTACCCTATTGTATCACAGTGCATCTTCGGCATCTTTGCACCACTGTTCGAATTCGGCGAAAGCTTCAAACAACTGCTCAGCCCCGTCATCCTCCTCGTCGTCGTCGGCTAGGGGTACCTTCTTCACCGCCCTCTCAAACACATTCCTCGCCCTCGCAACGTCGTCATTCTTCATCTCGAAGTTGGCATACCGAATCCAGTTCCCTGCTTCTTCAGGATGGCGTTGTACCATCCGTTCGTAAATATCTCTAGCACTCTCGATTAGTTCATCCAACTTGACGGAGGAGTGCTCGCTGGAGTTTGTTTTCTTCTTGGGAGGTCCGAACATATTAGCGTTCTGGAGCTCACCTGCCTGACGGAGAATTTGGTTGGCGTTGGCTCGGATTTCGTTGACGGAACTCATGGCTGTGAATCGGAAAAGAGAGGGTGATGGCTGTTAGAAGTAGAAGTTTGTATGCAGATCGATCGGTTTATAGAGACTTGTGTGTGTGTGTGTGTATATATGAGTATACATATACATATATATATATATGTGAGTATTTATCCCATAATTAGTAGGAGAGGATTAGAGGTAACAAGAAAAATCCAGAGGAAATCAGGAAGCCCGTTCCCATTTGAAATAGGAAACTTAAAACTTTTCCTTGTTCGTAATTAGGTGGTTTAATTAGTTAATTAGGACAGACGGCAAGAAAGGGAGACAAAGAAAAAGAAAGACGTTGCCACGGGAAAGAGCCGCCCGCCACAGGCATAGAATAACGGTGAAGCCGCCCCGGAGGACGGCGCTGAGCGGAGCTCTGTCTAGAACTCATGCATGCAACTTTATCATCTCTAAGAAAACATCTGTCTTACCGGATAATTGAGAAATTTACAGAAAATTAAAGTATTTTTCTTTTATTGTCAAGAAAATTAAGTATTTTTCAAAAGTACATATTTATGTTTGTAATATTCAAATTAATTTATTGACTAATGGTAGAACTAAACAATAACAGCAACCACAATAGAACTTTATCTCATTAAGTGGACTGGAGTCTGCGTCGGCAGTACAAATCTCTTAACGCCAATGTTCTCATCAAGTAAGGTCGGCTCGGTTTTGGGGATAACTAAACAACATAAAAAAAATTTCTTCTAAAAGATAACACATAAATTAAAGACTAAAAACTAAATTCAACAAGCCACTTAACACTATAGTCGACTAGTCACTCAGTACTACGGTCTGGTGGTATTCTTCTTCACTTGAAAGTGAGAGGTCTTAGGTTTGAATCTTGTGAATGACGAATTCAATACCAAATTAGGCTGCCTATTGTGTGGCTTAGCCGAACTCTCCCTCCCCTTAGTGTAAAAATATCAATGTACTCAAAATAAAAATGAAAAAACACTACAGTCGACTAGTATTCCTCCACATGGATAACATACTTAATGTAAAAATATCAATATACTCAAAATAAATAAATAAAACACAATAGTCGACTAGTATTCCTCCACATGCATAAATATATAATTTATTTAAAAAGATAAAAAAAGACGAATTCAATACCAAATTAGGCTGCCCATTATTTGGTTTAGCCGAACTCTCATTCCTCTTAATATAAAAATATCAATGTACTCAAAATAAATAAATAAAAACACTACAATCGACTAGTATTCCTTCACTCTTTTGGATAAATATATAATTTACTTAAAAAGATCAAAAAATAAATAAAGTATAACAAAAATCAAGGAGTCATGGTTTTAAATGTTTGCAATTGCATTTGAGTGGATTTTCTGCGAAAAAAATCCCCAACATTGTAAACGTGACGCGTGTTTCCAAAGTGAAACGACAAGTCGTTGATGGGGTTTACAAACACCTTCGTTCCCGCTCCCGCGCGCCCCCACTGCCTCTCTCACTCTCTCTCCTCCGAAAGAGCTCTACAGTTCTCGCAGTCCTCGTCAATGGAAAATGTGAGAATTCTCACAGTCGCAGAGCTACTTGCGCGCGGCCGTCCCCTCACCGCCACGTCCTCCATCTCTCCCAACTCGAACCAAAAGTCAAAGCTCCCCACCCGCTCCGTTCCCACCCACTCAAACCCTAGCCCCAATCCCAACCCTCGCCCTAAGTTTCTCACTCCTCTCGACCACTTCGCCGTCATCGTCGGAACCCTAGCCCTCCCCACTACCACCACCGCATCCGATTCTCCGTGCTCCTACAACACTTGCTTCCAATTCTCCGACGGCGCCGCGGCTTCCATCTGCTGCGATATTCTCGATTTTGACGCTCGGATTATCGGGAAGAAAATCAATGTTCTCGCTTGGAATTTCATTCCCTTGAAACGCACCGGCGGGTTCTTGGAGATTATCAGATGGAGCTTTCAAGATTCCAATGGCGGACTACGTCCCTGCAGTTCAAATTTCATGTATGTTCCTCTGGCTATAGGCTCTTCGACTGGCCGCGGAGATGGATCCAGAGCTCGGCATGGTATATTCGGCACATTGGATTTGGTCAGCCCTTTGTCCACTGTTCCGTGTACAGCCGGTGAGAACAATTCGAACACCAATAAGGCTTTGGATTCGAGCTATTCCTCGAATTTCCGAGGCTTTTTACTCCAATTTATGGTCTGTGAGTGCAAATTTTGTAGTTCAAAGGAATCAGTTCTGGCCCTGAAGGATTCAGTTCGAGGGAAAAATACACATTCTTTTACCAAACCAATGTTTGTATATTGTTCCGGTTCTGCTTCATGTTGGCACCCTGTATTTACGAAACTTGTAGGAAATGTTGTTGCTTTGTCGGGCTTGAAAAAGAAGATGGTTTTTATAGGAAAGAAAGAGTCTAAACTAATGTATGTAACTACGGAAACTTCTGCATTGCATCTGCTTAGATTGTCCAAAAACTGGTTGCCGAAATGTACAGCTGATACAAAAGGAAAAGGTGAATGTGGCACGTATAGAGGGCTAGTCAAAGGGGTGTATATGCACGGGATGGTTGTCGAGCTGGACAATGAGGTGTGGCTTTTATTAACTGATCAACTGCTTACTCCACCACATAGTCTAAGGGCGGGTGCTCTCGTAAGTCCTATAAATTTTGTTCCTTTCCCGGACTTGAAATATTTTGATCTATACTATTTGTCTATTTATTTTCTTTTAATTCTTGGCTTCTCTATAGGTTACTGTGAGAAATACCCATTTTGTGAATCCCAGATTTTCTTGGACAAGAATGCTTATACTTGGTGCTTGCTTTAAGACTAGTGTTACTGTGGAATCTTTCTCTCCATTGGAAACTGGGTAAAGCCATGTCTTTTGAATTGTACTTGAGATTCCCAGAAATCCATGTTCACAAAGTTATCTAATTGTGAGCTGCAGGTGTCATGTACTTTTACATTCACAGAGTTCGTTGGAGAAGTTTGTTGGGTCCTTAGCATTTTCTGCCAGATTATGGTATTGTTTTCGGTGATTTCTATATTGTGTGTTTGGATGGGAAATTTTGTGGTTTGGTGTTCAATGTTTAGAGTATATTACTTTCCTGTTTGGTTTACTAAGTAAGATGGTTGGGTTTCAGGGTATTGCTTGTTGCCACATGTTTCCGGAAAAAGTTTGCTGGTATCTTATCTGAAAAGGAGATTTTGGGAACAAAATATGTAATTTACTTCTGAGCTGGAATTCTTCTTTATTTTTTTTTTTGCATAGTAGTTGTTATGTTATATCTAAAAGGTGAGTTGGATGGTTGGAAGGTGCTGCCAGAAGGAAGGGTTGGTTCAGACGTATGCTAGTTCGCATTTTCCTTCTTCGATGCATAAAACTCGGGTAAATTGGTTTTGCTTTGGTAGAAACAAACTTAGTCTTTTTAAAGTTTCTGTCAAGATCTTAAATAGTTTCTTTTTGCAGCATGGAGTATTCACAGAACTTTGCAACCATGATTCATGCGTCTGCAGTTGTGAACCATACACTGGCAACCTGAATTTGGTATGTCCATGGCCAGAATCATTTAGGCAATCCACGTTTGCATTGACTTGCTCTGTTTTATATTGGAACATTCGATCTAATATAGATTTTTCAATTTCTTATGGTTTTTAGGTGTTAGATTAGTACTGAAAAGTAACTTTCATATTCTTTTCTTAAGTTCAGGTAGTGCCCTTATGTATTTTCATGTGCCGTTGTGAGGCCTTATGGATGAAAGCAGTGCAGTTGGAAAGTAACCGTGGAAATTTGCACAATAACAAGAAATATAACCTTCAATTCTGTGAAGGGACATCTCATGTTCAGTCAGTTAGAAAGATTTTTTCAAGTGAAGATCTAGGTGTAACTTTGATTGGAAGTTTGAAGGTTCGTGGTTGGTTTTGTATTTCCTAATGTCTTTAGTAATACTGCTGATACCTATGCCAGTTATCTAAACTGTTTTACACAACAACAGTACATGATAATATCTGAGTACAAAATGCTGGTGAAGTAATCGAAGGGTGTAGGTCATTGTGACAGAATATGATTTACTATATTGACACTCAATGTTCAGGTGTTAGCGTTAAAGAGTTGAATCTCATAAATAAAAGAAGCAATTTTATAGTCCAAATTTGCACAACTTTCGTTGTTTTACCATCTCTATCATTGTGTAATACTATAATGTATGTGTAATTCAACAAATTATTATTTATTGCAGTTGATTTATTCTACATTTCATATTCCATTATACAGACTTCTCCATCTTCTGGAAGACTGCAGTTGGTTGATGCAACTGGGAGCATTGATGTTCTTGTACCAGACCTTCCATCAACTCAGGATGCCAGTAGGATATACAAGGTCGTGATTGACAATAGTGTTACCACTCATTCTCCATTAGAAATAACCACCTTTCTGGAATGAGATAGCTATTAATCGGTACATGTCCAATATACCTTTTTGTATCTGGACTCACTTAGTTCTGTTTGGCTTTCCAGGTAGTTGACTACAGTCTTGTTATTGAAGGAATGCCCCGGTCTGAGGATTGTACAGGATTGCTTGACAGTGATTTATTTTCATGCAGAAACATCTTTCATCTGATACCATTGACAAGAAAGATGAACTTAACAGTTTATGTTTACTTTCGCCTGAGGAATTCTATGTGCAGAAATCTTCCCTTTTATCCTTGTACTGGACTTGGAGAAGATGTGAAGAGACTTGAAAGTGAAACGTTTGACCTGCTTTTGGTTACCCACAAATTTCCGGTTCTACAGAAGGTATATTCCAAATTTGGCTTTTTAAATAATTTCTGTAATGTTTTTAAAGCTGCGTCTAGGAGCTCCATGGGTGTTTTCACAAACCCCAAAATGGAAGAGTGGGACCTTAATAGTAGACGTGGAAATGCTTGCTGTTTTCACTCTACTTATTAGTTCTCGATTTATATGAATCTTAACAGTTTTCAGGTGATTTGGTGATAGCGAACCCTTCAAGTATGTTTGTGGAGGCCATAATCTTGCCTTGGAAATTATTTTTTTCTGGAAGTGATCAACTTTCATATCCAACTGAGGTTTTAGGAGATGATCCGAAGAATTCCATGGAACCTTCTCCCAAGAGACGGAAGGTTGATCACTCATCAAGCAGGGGTTCAACTTCCAGTATAATAGGCACTTCCAGTGAGCCAACCAGAGAACTGAGTTCTTGTTCTATTTACATGGAATCTAGCGAGAAACAGAGATATTGTGACTTGAGTTCTCGTGAGATATCTTGTTCAGCTAGGATTAGTGGAGTTAACAGTCAGAGTCTAGGTTCAGTTGTCTTGCATTGCACAAGTGCCAAATCAAGTAATGGTGGCTTTTCCAGACAAAGTGGACAGAAGGTATTGCTGGAGTTTACATCTGAAAGTTTTTATAAGTATCAGGTACGCCAGATTTCTCCTTTTCCTGGCTAGTTGATGCTTGAGTAAATAATTTCGTAAAATAACTTGTACTAATTTTTATTTTCTTACATTTCAGTTGTTGCAGATTGGTTGTTATTATATGGCAAAGCATGATGGAGAAGATTCCTTTTGTAATCTCAGGGATTCTATCTTTTCCAGCAGTGATTATATTCTTATCCCTTCCAAGACCCATCTGTGGAGCCTTTCATTTACTCCTGATGAGAACTGTCAAAATAGTTCATCAAAACATCTTCCATTAGATAACTCACTGATAAATGATGAGGTGGCTGCAGACCGTGATGAAGTACTTCTTCAGATGTCCCCTGGAAATGTTCCAGATATATCTCTCTGTCTCCCTGAAAATGAAATCGGTTTTGGAGAGGTAATCCTGACCGAATTGGAAGAGGGCCTGATCAAACCAGTCGTGACACCTGAAGAGATTTTAATGACTCCGCCTCTGCTGTCACTTGATTTGAACTGCCTATTTCCTCAGGGAAATCTATCATCTTTGTGTGGGCAAGTGCTTGCTGTTCATAGTGTTGAAGAGAATTCTGTCGATTCTTTTTTGAACTATCAGAACATTGGTGATCCTCTGCAGCTGAGATTATTTCAGAGAGCTACAAGCAGCTGTATTCATGTTTTGGTGGACCATCAGATTGTAATTCTCTTCTCCTAGTTGTTAACTTCTTATTAAAATAAGATAAAATAGTGTGCCTATCTCATTTCATCATTTTAATCAAATAGGTAAGGCTATCTGGTTCTTGGAGTAAACATTCCTTTCCTGTCGGGTTCGGACCTGGTGTGGATGCAACGTTTCACCAGGTTCTTGAATTGCGGTATGCAATCTAATTAGTCTTTTCAAGCATAATTAATTATCAGTTCACTTATTTAATGTTGCACTGCTATATATTAGTTTGACGGCTTGATGTCTATTCTTTGATTTCCAGGGGTCAAAATAGATGGATGTTGACATCTGCATCATTTATTGTAATCAATTCCATAAGGGCAGTATGCTTTAACAAAAATTCAGTAAGGGTAGTCAATGAATCGTGCAGTGACAAGCGCTCCAGTCCTGCTTCATACGTTCAGAATGATGGGCCTCTAGACATTGTTTCTTCGGGTTTGATTTCTGAGTTGGTACAGTGCTTGGATTCCAAGCCAATGCAGTTTCATTGCAGGGTAAGTCTTATATTGTCTTGTTTCTCTTTACGATTGAATCTTGTATCTCCTTTTCTGCTTTTCACAATCGTGTTCCTGGACGGATGAAGCTTATTCTTGTGTATCAACATTGGCCATTGAACAGGTTGTTGCTATCCATATCGTGGTTTTGGAGAGGAAAATTAGAAATGCCAATTATCAGCCTACAGATCACTTCAGGCCATACCTTGTCAACATCCCGCTTGCTGGTTTTGTTTTGGGTAATCTGTTTCTTTCTTCAGAAAGATGATCATATACAGCATTTTCGGCGTTTTAAAGTTTCACACTCCGTTCTACATGAATGGATGAACAAGATTTCGATTTGCTATCCTTGTACTTCTTTTGGGCTTATCTTGTTTCCTTTTTCTAGTTTATGATTCGGCTTCTCTATTGTTACGTGTAGACGACGGCTCATCCCCATGTTGTTGCTGGGCTAATTCCGAAAGAGCAGCAACCTTGCTAAGGCTGTATGAAGAATTCCCAGTGTCGGCTTTCGATGCCAGTGGCTGGACCTTCAAGTGGATGAGAAAAAACAACAGTGCATCTAGTGCCACCATCTACCATCTTGATAGAATTTTAAATAACCATGACCGAATTACAGTGAAGAACTTCGGATCAATGTTTGAGTCTTCCTATCAAGATCTCACTGTCTCTGTGAGTTCAGAAAACGCCCTCAGCAGCTACGACGAAAACCTCTTAAAGTTCATAATCTTTCACGCTTGCTTCAGCAAAATTTGGGTGAGTTGGGAACTGGTCACGCAGTAACTCTCCACTAAATTGCTCAATTATCAACTGCTTACGATACTTCTACTTCGACTTTGCAGACAATTGTGGGGAGGATGATGGATTCGAATGCAATCGAGCGGTTGAAGACGGCGAACGTTTTGGAAACGGAGGCGTCTGTGCATTCCATGCAACATGTATGGGCCAGAGAAGTTCACTACACAAGTCCTCTCACCGAGGCCAGGAATGTTTTACAACTGCTCGACGGGTGATTGTAATATGTCAAGACCAAATTTATGATGTTCATATAACTCCATATCTTATAGCTCCCTTTTCTAATTGGTTTTCACGAATTTATACATATATCATATATTTTCTTAAAATTCAGGCAAAGACATTTTAAAGAAATCTCAACATTAGCATTTTTCACAAAACTATTAATTTTGCAAATTTTTCCCGACTGTTTTTATATATTTATTTTAAGGACTTGTAATATTTTCCTTCATGTGAATCAGTATTTTATAAACCCGCCTTAAGATGCGCCTAGGCGGCCTTCAAGGAGGGGTAACAATGAAAACGCCTTTGCCTAGCAAGAGTAGGTTTAAACTTGCCAAGACGCGCTCAAGGCGGGCATGAGGAGTTCAATTGGGCTTCTATTTTGTTTAAAAGTTGCTGAAATCTGAAAAAAATTAGTCGAAATCTGCAATTTTGTTGCGAGTTTTGTCACTTTAAACTGAGTCACTTTTGCTAACAGTTGTTACCTCAGCATATTCTTTTCTGTTAAACTTTTTGTTTTTAATATTATCTTACAAATCTCAAAAGACTTAAAAATAAGACATTTCTATAAGAGCATGTTGTTACCTCAAGGCTTTTGCCTAAACAGGGCTATTATGAAATGCCTCGCCTAAGCCTTTGTCTTTTAAAACATTATTGAGAATGCAAAAGATTACACGAAATCTTGACAATTGCATAAAATTTTGTGGAAAACACAAGTTAGTTTTTACACTAAGAAGGTGCATTAGCTTGACCATGAGCAATCAAAGCACCCAGAATCTAATCAACTTTCTGCCTATACAGACACTTAGTTGCATGAGAAAAAACAAAGTAATCACAAAAACATGGAGCAGCATTTGTGCTCTGAACTCTAGCTATTAGGTTTGTGAGGAAGCTTCATGTTGAGAAGATGAGAGAGGCCTGCTATTACGTGCAGTGGACTGCTCGGAATCCCCGTCTTTGCCGGTGCCCTGCCCTTCTTGTCCACTATAACAAAGCAAGGCACATATCTGATGACGTAAAGGAGGCGCTGCATTTGCATTTCCAGCGACGGAAAAACTGCCAGACAATCTATTAGCTTCAACGTGTATTCAAGCGCGGTTTCAAACCCAAATCGGTTATGTAATTTTCATAGCATTTCCTTGACACTACAAGCTTCAAAGTAACAAAAACCAGTGTGTTTTCATATTACAAAGTCGAAAAATTCAAGCATATAACATGTATATGGAGAAAACGTTGAGGATGAAGGGTACCTCGGGAAGCCATTTCGCGTTCTCTGCATCTGCCATGACAATGTTAAGCCACTCCGAGTTCCCACTCTCAACCTCCACAACAGAATCAAGCAAAGAATTGCACAGCCTGCATTTGGGTGAATAAAACTCAACCACCGTAGCCTCTTTCGCACTTGCCAATGCCGAGGCAAATGCTCGGTGCTCCGCCTCCCCCTGCTCTTCCGGACTCAAGATTGTTTTCGACTTCACATTCTTATCTTGGCGGGTTCTTGCATCGCATTGGAGGGGATTAAACGTAGGGGGTTTTAATGAAAAGCCCGCGATACTGTTCATTTTAACGAAAACCACGTTTTTACACTAAAAAGTCAATTATGGTACTATTCACTTTACCCTTTATTTTGCCCTTATCGTTAAAACTAAAAATTTTCAAACCCTTTTTGTTAGTTTTCCTTTAAACGTATTGGCCAACGAAAACGAGGATTGCGAAACTGAGCTTTAAATAGAGCCACTCCCGTGAAAACTTACAAAGATGAAATGGTTGTCACTTTTGAAAACATCACACAACAACATATACATCATTATTCTTCTCATCTTTTGCCGAAAGCATGTGGGCATTCACCCCACAACTTTTACAACAGAGATTACTTTTTATTTTATTTATTTTTTGTTAGAAACAAACGATAATAAGTAGAATGTCAACTAACTGAGTTACAATTTTTTTGCAAGTTACTTTTTCATTGAATTCTCTAGGTTAATGGTGGTCCGCCACGCACCAACCCACGTTTAGTTGTTTCTAGAGGCCATCCCTCCCTAGTCATACCCATAAACATGTTTTTCTCCCTCTAAGTGGAGTTTCGCCAAAATTCTAACCACAATCCCACTCGTCAACATTTTGACACCTTCCAGGCTTCCCCTCTCTTGGCTTTCCCATCCTAATTCTAAATGGTTGAAAAACGACATTGGCAAGCCACCAGAAAATAGTTGACAAATCTTACGTTTTCTATCAACAAAAATGTTAATTTAGAACTCCCTCAAAATCTCTACACCTTTTTTGCCACTTTATACCCAACTCTAGTGAGAAAAGAAGGCAATTTCAGGCCGATTTGCTTCATAACATGTGAACAAAATGTACTATATAAACCCACCAATCTGCTCAAACCCTCCATCACCTCAATCTCATTAGTCACTAATTCCACCTTAATTACATTTCTCTAATCTCCTTCTTCAAGAATTTGAAGATGGGTTTCCGTGTCTCTTCGCAAGGGCTTGTTTTGATTGCCGTAGCTATCTCTTTGTTGGCTGTTTGCCAAGCCAAAACTGTCGTTGTAGGAGGCTCTCAAGGTTGGCGTTTCGGCTTCAACTACACTGACTGGACTCTCAAAAATGGCCCATTTTACATCAAGGACACGCTGGGTAAGTCAACCCGATGTATTGTGCCGATCAACCAGTTACTTGCATCCCGTAACTATCTCGCGTTAAAGGAAATTCGAACTATTCACAATGTGTATCTTATATTTCCCATTTTTTTGATGTACAGTTTTCAAGTACAGTCCACCAAGCAACGCCGGCGCTCATGACGTGTACTTGCTGCCGGACCTGTGGAGCTACATAACATGTGATTTCCGTAGGGCAAAGCTGGTGGCCAAAGCTACGCAGGGAGGCGGCCAGGGGTTTAAGTTTGTGCTGAACCAGTGGCGGCCACACTACTTTGCTTGCAGTCAGGGAGCCAACAGGTCACACTGCAAAAAGGGGTTGATGAAGTTCTTCGCCGTGCCATGGCCACACTGGCAGCTATAGTCAATGCCAGGGACGTGCTAGGCCTCAGGCCGGGGAAGAAGCAGTGCTTTAATTTTTCTGTTTTTGTGTGATTTGATACATGTATTCAATAAAAATGGAGTCAGGACCATGAATATTTTGTTCAAATAAATGTTTCCAACGATAGGAACTTCGTACGACATAAGTATTACAATCTCTGTTATGTGTTCGATGTATGGCCCGGAGATGGCCCCGATTCTGCAGATGCTTATTTTACAAGATCTCAGTCAAGTATGGTAATAACTGTTTAATTATCAGGCTCACCAAAATTTTCTACGCCTCGTTCAGACTTGTATGCCAGCTAATCAAAGTTGCTTCAACTAACATTGTGGTACGAATCAATGATGGCATCCGAGAGGTATTCACATTTCGCCAAAGATAAACCTGCCAGGGAAATCCTCCCATCCTTTGTCATGTATACATGCCACTTGTTTGTCATGTTTTCGGTCTGACCAGACAAAACGGAAGGAGATCAGTTTAAATCTAGGAGCTGAAATATAGATCAAATCACAGGACTTAAAGAATGAGGATTTACCTGAGCCTTGTTTAAGCCGGTGAATGAAAACATGCCGATCTGCTTAAGTATAAATGACCAATCCTTTCCACTCTTATCTGTTGCGGTCAGGCTATCGTATAGTTTTTGTCTTACGCCCTTTATCCTTCCAGCCATCATCTCCATCTCTGCTTTCCACTCGTTGAAGAGTGCTGGATCTCCAACTACATTGGCCACAATTCTAGCACCATGGATTGGAGGATTTGAGTACATAGGTCGAGCGATCCTCTTCAATTGGCTCTTTACCCTGAACATAAAAGCTTTAATCACTAGCACATCCCAAAAATTCAGGTACGAGTCACAATGGATATGTCAAAGTACTCTTAGCAGAAGTGATTACGATCATAGACTCAAATAACCACAATACTGTAACCAATTACAGGAACTTAGATTATACCCAAGCCATTAAATTAAAACCTCAAATAAGATTAAGCAACTTTGTTACTTGGAAAATTATGCGTTATGTGTGACGTTTATGCATATTGATGGTTATTATACCTTGTTGCTGCATCAGATGATGCGCAGACAACATTGATTGCTCCAATTCTTTCTGCATAGAGCCCAAGGTTTTTACTGTATGACTGAGCAACCAGAAGCTCTAGACCACGTGCAGCAAACAATCTGACAGATGCTGCATCAGTATCCAAGCTTCCACTAGCAAATCCCTACAGCACGATACCATATCAACATAAGTTCATTTATGAATAAACGAATGAAAATATATTTACTAATACGACATCAAAACTTTGATTCTAAAGATTCTATATTATCATTTCCATTTCTGTAAATACCTGGTATGCAACGTCAAAAAAGGGGATATGGTTTTTTTCTTGAATGACATCAGCAATTTTTTCCCACTGTTCAGGGGTTGGATCTATGCCGGTAGGGTTGTGAGCACAGCCATGAAGCAACACAAAAGATCCTTCAGGTGCTGCCTATAAGATAGAACGGTATACAAATTAGTGGTTACTCCAGAACAGCAGACAGAGATAGAGAAGATATAAACACATCGCAATTGTAGTTATTGAAAAACATGTCTGCTCAAGATCCAGAGCCTAGCATCAATGAGCATACTGATTCCAAAAATACAAAACTACAACGTATATGTACATGGTTATACAATTCCTGCACCAATCTATCTTACCTTTATGTCTGCTATCATCCCCTCGAAATCCAAACCAACTGTTTTTGGATCATAGTATCGGTACTCTGACCATGGAACTCTAGAGTCATTAAAAATGTTTTTGTGATTACCTGCAACACAATTATGTTAGACCTAGACACGACAAATTAGTAATCTTGAGACAGTCTTATAATAATACAGAAGTGACAATACAGACCCCAGGTTGGAGAGGATATTAAAACTTTTGCCCCTGGAAAATATCGTTCGATAAAAGCCCCAGCAAGGCGAAGAGAACCAGTTCCTGATAGACCTTGGACGGTTGCTAGCTTCAAAAAATGAAAGATAAACAATTATTAGACAGCGATAAGATCAAAGAGATGTACTGCATGATTTATTTCAGAATGCACGAGTTCCAATTTCTTGCTTACTCGTTGTTGCTTAATTACTGGGTTGTCTGCTCCAAATAATAACTCTGCAGTCACTTTGTTGAATGCTGCCAAACCTTCTATTGGGAGGTACTACGCGATTGAATACATATTGAAGTTAGAAATCCTAATTTTACGAAGAAAAAATTCAGATCAGTTACATTGTTGAGTATGCTTACCTCTTTGTTTTCCCCCCTCTCAATCATAAGATTCTCTGCCTACAAAAGCAAATCATGTCGCTTTGAATCGGAATCTCAGATTGAACAGCAAGAACAAAAACAAGTACAATAATTAGCTTTCGATTCCTAGGAGTATGAAGTGGAATCTCATAACTCATTAGCAAAAGATTTTTGTATTTTGTGGAGGATAGCGATCTGACCTTCTTAACAACATCAAGCACGTATGGCTGAAGATCTTCCGTTCGATATGCCCCAACTCCAAGGTTGAGCTTCGACTCGTTTGTGCTAGCCTTGAATGCTTCAGAAACTCCGAGAATTGGATCAGGCGGGGCCATCGTTACACCCTCGAATTTAGAGACATTCACGGCAGCTACCATAGATACCCTACCAAAAGACTACAGAAACCAAAACAACACCGCATTAGCATCAATGTCAAAGCAAAAAGTCGATAAATGCCCGCGAAATAGCCATAGCAGCTCACAGCACATACCTCTGTCTTCGCAAGCAGACGATTTCTTTCCTTGTTCAAGCTCCAAGAAGTACTCCCAAGCTTCAACTTCCCCTGTTCAAAATACACACCAAACACGTTCAGTACTTCGATTTCAATGTCGATTTCCGAGATTCCGAGAACAAAATCACACACCATCTCAGTTTTCCCGGAAACTCAACATTTTCTCGGACACTAAGATCAAAGAAGAAGACGAAAATCGGAATTAATTACGAAACGATCAAAAGTGCGGTAGTACCTTGGGAGTCTCGTGAGTGGACAGAGAAGCTGACGGCGAGACCGAAGCTAAGGACAGCATCGCTGAAGCCATCTGAATTCAGCAATCGAGACAAGATAACAAACACCAGAAAAAATGATGAGCCAAAAAAATTGAGTAATTACGCGATCCAGGAGCAAATCAAGAGCTAAAGAGATGACGATTAAGATGTGATTAACCAGATTCAGGCGGATTAAAATGCGAGTGATTAGGAGAACTCACCGAGAGAGAGAGAGAGGAGGAGGGCGATGAACACGAAGAGGAGGACCCAGCCGTTTGAGCGAGGTGATCTTTCGTTGGTTTGCTTCTATTGGCTTGGATAAGTGGGTTTTGCTTTTGCGAGCATCAGAGTGAGATTTTTTTGTCGTTATATATTTGGAATCGTTGTTGTTGTGGGTAAGAAGTAAGAACGGAACTGCACAACGTCATTTTAAAATTGTTATCGTCATCGTTAGTTTTTTAACTCGTGAAGACGTAAAGATATAGTTTTTTTTTTGTCAACTCGACTTCAGTCAAAACGGATCATGTTAGAAGAATTATTATTACAATTAGATATAATTGCGAGATCATGCTTCAATTAGGTTAAAATTGAAGGATCACTTCTCTAATTGAATTAAAGTTGAGAGACCGTTACTACAATTTTCTCATTTAGTTTTTCATATTTGTTCCTTAACTCAGCCTCACGTGTACAACATGTAACTCATTTTGACGAAAGTTGTAATGGAGTTGACGAAAAGGACCATACATGCACGTTTTGATAACTTAAGGGACCAATAATCACAGATTTTTAGCTGAAAGTTTATTACTCCAATTGGATTAAAATTAAGAGACAATTGCTACAATTTCTCCTACAATTAATTAAATATCACACTCCAAAGCACACAAGAAAATGCCCAAGGGAGGTTTAAATGCTAGGGGACAGAATTTTACATAGCACAATATGAGCTTAATTTCCAGAGCGTAAAAATCACACGATAATGACTAGAAGGAAACTAAAATACCGTAGTGTTTTACGTTTGTAAATCATAAATTAAGTTCAATATCTATAAATAGCGAGCTCAAAGCTCATTGTATAGTTTAGCATCAATCTCCTACTTCTAATATCGTTATTCTAATGAAAGACTTCGCCATTACAAATTGATCTTTCAACATCCCTTCTCTTACTCACTTTAAACTACAAACCCCTTGGTTATAATTCTGACCACCATCAAATACATAATCATTTCCACTTCCGCGCCCTCAAAATATTTTTAAAATAACTAAAAACGTTTTTAATAAAAATATTTCTAAAACTAATCCTTAATAAAATGATAATGAATCTTGAAAAAACAATTCAAGTGTTTTTGGAATCAAATGCAGAATCAAATATGATTTTGCACCTGACTTTCTAAAAGCATTGGAAAGAAAATGAATAAATTTAACTACGAAATTTCGATATTTAGGATCGGGTACTTGTGGGCAACATGAATTCAAGGTATGTTAAAGCGAGAGGCGAATGATTTTCATTTGGAGAATATTAAAATGCGATGAGTCTTGAAGAAAATTTATTTTTTCTAAGATTTATAAGTTATAAAAATGATAAATAATATTTATCAATTATAATTAATAAATCCGAATTCCGGAAATTAAAAGGTATAAGTTTACACCCCAAATGAAAAATCAATTCAACAGCCTACCTTGAAATTAATATTTATCCACTCCGATCCAACCCTAATTACCAAATTACCAATCAAGCAACAAAAAATTCATAGAACACAAGGAAAAGGAAAACAAGATTCTCCAGCAGATAGATTTAATCGAGAATTCAAGGGGAAGCTAAAAGCACTTCTGAAATTTAAAGAGGGGAAGATAAAAGCACTTCTGAGATTTAAAGACTCTTATGAGTTCTTACAACTCGATGGATTCTCAACAAGGTCAGAACCAAAAACTAAAACCCCTAAATCAAAAATACAAAATATGATAAATTGCCAGTGAAAATTTGGGAGCAAAGCACCTCAGAATCCGAGCTTGGTGCGGCGCCAGTGCCTGCGTTTCGCATTGTACCTGATACACAACACGGAAAAAACCGAAAAATTATAAGCATCTGGGAACCGATCAAGAACCAAATCAAAATTAAGAGAAAATTAAGAAACAATTAAACGAAAATTAGAGTAAATGGAGAAGTATTTATGGACCTGATGGTGTTGTCGGTCCTCATACGGATCCAGTGAGGGATGGGCCTGTTCTGCCTCATCTTCTTCGCCAGCTTCTTCTTGATCATGAAGCTCTTGTGCGACGGCTGCGCATATTTACCAAAAAAAACCCATCAGAAACTCAATCATTTTCCATTAATGGCAGTTAGAGAGCAAGAGAGGAGATAGAGAGAAGAAGTCACCATTTTTGCGAGCTTGGAGATCCGCCGCGAAGTTTACAGCAGAGAGCAAAACAGCGAAAACCCTAACAGCGCGAAGACTGGCGAAAACCGGCGCTGTTTCAGTTTTAATATAGGGGAAGGGTAAAAATGGAATTCTATAATTTGTGGCCCAAACCAAACCATCGTCTCGGTGAATGTTGGTTTCAAGGCCCAGATTACAAGGGAATTCAAGCCCAATATTCCGGAAGGTTTGTATGGGTTTAATTGGATCAACTCGGTTGTAAAACGTTATTTTTCGTCACAATCTTAAAGCTCATTTATAAGTGCTTTTAAAATGATTGAATGTGCTTATGGTGAAATGGTTTTTGGGTTTCAAAAGCATTTGAACTGCTTTTTAAAGCATCAGTTTTGTGCTTCTTGTAGTAAACACTTCAAGTGCTTTTTTAGGGTTTAGTCACATTTTTACAAAGGATTAGTTTCAAAAGCACTTTCTTTAAAAATGTTTTCAATCATTTTAAAAGCAATTTCAAACGAGCCCTTATTTTACATTTGACGATACCATATTAAGAATACTCGAATTTATTAAAGAGATTCAAACTTGGATGCAAAGAAAAAAATCAATAATTGATCTAATTCACACATGCATTTTGTAGCATTTGCGCATTTAAATTGAGGATCAAGCCAAACACAACAAAAACTAACAAGATTCAAATGCATGGAAATAGGAGTCGGACTACAACTAGAGAATCTAGGAAACGTCGTTGTAGCAGTATTCCAAATCAATCGTTATGAGTAAATTTCTCTTTGCTAAAAGGAAAAAGAAGCAGCAGAGGAGCATGGCCGGTACCAAAAGTCTTCACCACTCAGCGTACGAAGGGAATGAGGAAGTACTCGGCATAAAACAGCTGCATTCGACAACAATATTAAGTTTAGCGTTAAACTAACAAAACCTTGTATTTAGATTACGAAAAAACGAGATCAAGAAATCACTCAACCTTCCAGATGAACATGTAAAACGAAGTGAGTGACGCTTTATTGGCTATGTCGACGGACCGAGCTCGAATCCACAGAAGGGACGCGAGTGCACCGTGCCCTATTATCTGCAAGCCTAGCCATATCAGTAAAACAGTAAATAAAAATAGGTAGGATAGGAGGGTAACGTGCATGACACAGGACGTGACGTTGAGCTGGTGCCATGTAAGTTATATATCGTAAGGTAGACATGCAGACATACAGTGAAAAGCTTGCATGGCAGGAATGAGGAAGAAGCTCCTATGGCCAAGGCAGCTCCGTATGCCATTAACAGCATATTTACGCATACCCAATATACCTGCAGAAGAAGGATATATATATACTTCAGGTTTTGACTTCATTGTTTCAACTGAGAATTGCACAATATGTCGTAGAAAATAAAATAAAATAAAAAAATAAACACAATAACGAAATTCAGTAACCTTCTCTTGCCCAAGGCTAACACTGAATGATTGAATGCCAAAATCTCTATCACCATCCACATCTGGTATATCCTTTAAAAATATGCCAAGCAAAATGTAAATTCGTAACTACATATGATTGTTCCAGTCGAAGATAGTATATCGGTTGTAAGGTTTGAATGCTCTTAATCACTTGAGCTATGATTAACCGCGTTGCTGTTTTCGTTATACATGATTAAATGTGTTACAGTAATTAGTTAAGTTGCAGCAGGTCTAACCTTGAATAGAGCAATGACGGAGGAGAAGATGCACATGAAAAACACCGCAAACGCCAGTGATCTTGTAAGCATAACTGGTCTACCGAGGACAAATTTCTGTAAATACAAACAATTAACTTCTTCAACGCTGATGGATGACAAATTAACAAGCACACGTAACCTGTTTCGTTCGGAGTGAGTCACCATTTTATGCATGTATACCTGGATGTGCACGTAGAAAGCAAGCTGGACAACGATAGCCCTCACGATTAGGATGCAAGTAGCTGCAAGAAATGCATGCCTCTTCCACCTAAGCAAGGGAAGCTACTCAAGACAGAGAGACATAGAAATTCAGATGTTGATTGGTTTGATGGTCACATTTTATTCTTCAAAAGCCAGTAAGAGATTATATGAGCAAGCATAAGTAACTCACCTCAACGGAATAAGCAGTTCCGAGCAGGAAACTAATCACAAGCGCAGAAAACAGCGGCGGAGACTTGAACATAAATCCCATTGCAAAACTCTTGAAAGTTAACAGAAAACAATTATTAGATGGTAAGGAAAAATTGGAAAAGCGTGTATATGCTAGGTAAACATGACAACAAGAAGTAAGACATGGTTGATTTATCTGCCAGTCAACTACCATCAGCAGAACTGTGGAAACAATTGTGATCCCAGTTCCCATGGAGAATTCACCCGAAGCAAGCGGGAGCTCGGGTTTGTTAACCTGAGCACCAAGCAAAAGAATACAAAATCAACACTATATACTAAGATTTTCACCATGTTAGAAACTCCACTATTATATGAATGAACGATATACCTTGTCTATTTCGACATCGTACAATTGATTCAATCCCACCACATAAATGTTCATTAGTATTGAGGGCACCAATGCCTGCAGAAAGATATGATCATTTGAGGAAAAAATGTAACACACACACACACATATATATATTGAATTTTTACCTTCAACAGTCCTACAAAAAATGCAGTGGACAGGTCAGTAACATTTTCTAATGGAAGAAGAGAGACCGACGATATTCCTATAACCTGAAAACAAACCAAACAAGATGAATTCGTGAAGCTTGCGATTGTTCGATATCCGAGTGTGATTATATTGATAACTGAAAGGAAAATGTACATATATGTGGAACTCACAGTGCCAATTACAGTGTGAGGACGACTAAATCGACGAAAGGCATCCCATTGTTTACTAAGGCCAGCTTGAAAGCGAGTCAGAAATTCATCACCACTCTCGGGATTTGCTGATGCGTAGCCATGTTGAAAAGAAATAGGTAGGCAATACCATTTCTTGAATCTTTTACCACGGTTTCTGCTCGCGACTGTGATCTTCTGATCGCAATTTGGATTTGCATTTGTGGGAACAGATAATATCGTTGATCCGGAACAACATCGCGGGAATGGCTTCTTGTTCTTGGTTAAGTTGCAATGTGTTAGCTTCAGTACTGCCACTTGAACTGGCATTACGCAGTTACGATAATTTCAGACGAGAAAAGATCATTATATGAAATAAAAAAAGTAAAGAAAATCAACCAGCAGATTAAAACTAGTTACTGCATCTGCATGTATATGTATTTACAGCAAAAAATAATAATAATAATAATAATAAAATATAATATAAAAAATTATTTGCGAAACGAACTCCAAATTTTACTGAACAGATAATCTTTAGAGATTTGTCAATATTAAAAAAAATTCAAAAAACCACTACAGTTGAGAACTGGAGAGAAATGTGCTTACCGCTTGTTTGCTTATTCAACTATTTCTCTCGAAATCCCGGTAAAAGTAAATCAAGAAAAGTTTGATCATCGACTCGTGCACACTTTTGTTTATTTTTTACTTTTAAATTGAATAAGGTGACCGAGAATCAAATAAGAGCTTTAAACAGGGCCTGCGAAAATCATTTTTTATTTTTTTATCAGATAAAAGAGACGGAAACTAACCATGAGGACAAGACCATGAACGTGGAGACTTGCACTGAAGCATCTCTCTTCCTCCTCTTTGCACTTCCAATCAGATTGACAAAAAAATGATAAATGTATTCAAACAATTAATCTCCATTTTTTTGGTTCAAAATGGTAAAAATGTTTTGATGGTGGTAATCTGTGCTGACATTTGAAAGTATTAAAAACCGAGAGATTTTGCCTATTTAGCTCCTCAATAATTATTTACCGAAAAAAGAGAAATGATTATTTGACCTTCCAATGTACTTAAATGATTGTTTGACCTTCCAAATGTACTTACGTTGCATTTTAACATGAGTTTTGTTTTGGGCCGAATTGTATTCCTGTCGGGCTTAATCTGCAATTTCAAAGCGCGGTCTGTGAAGCAAATAAGCCCAAACTTGGAGCTGCATAATTCTAACATGGAGGCCTATAACTATCAAGCCTAAACTTCGTAACAACCAGACCCACAGAAACGGTCACACTCACATGGAGTACAACTTGTCTAAAATCAAAGAAAGTTTTAGATTGGGGACGAATTTCAGACTTGTATGTCATACGGCACGTAGTAGGTTTGATTTCTGGCACTAGTGAACCACATAAAGGTGGCCTTGGAAGAGTAGACTGCCGTGGAAAAGCCACCAGTTAGTCACCTTTTAAGAATGTTATTAATTCAAAAGTTATAACATGATTAATATGTCATACATTTAGAGTATATATTGCCAAAAAAAAATTATATATATAATATTTCGTGATTATCACTCTGAAAAACTTATTGGACCCACCCAAATTTCATTTTTTGTAATAAGGGTTTAAATGAAAGGGTAGTTCGTTTTAGGAATGTTAATTTTGCATAATTTGTGCGGCACATGGCTTCGAAAGGGACTGATTTTTGACGGTTGAATAACCTTCCTATTCTATTGATCGAAAGTTTCTACCGAATTGAACCATATGCATGCATGGTAGCCGAGCCTCAACTCTCCTTCTACGCAACCCACACAGCACGCCAACAGCATGTTCTTGAGCTTGACTAATTTTTGTAGGCTTGCAACATTGCCCGGATCGTGTTCAGAGCCTCAAACGGAGACCCTTCACTTGAGATCTTATACTTGAATCTCCTCACCCGATATCTTGGGTTTGAATCTCCGGTAATAATCCAATCAACAACACGGTGCTAGATTGGTTAGAAAGCTCAGTTTTTGATGCTGCAAACAGGGACACAGGCATATATGTCATTTTCGTTGCAATGTTGCATGCCAATGAGTAACGTTGTGATGAGGTTGTCGTTCAAAGTTTGAAATGAAGCAAGAAGACAGTGGGGCAAAAATCCCATGGGATGCGGGCAAAATCTGGAGCTGGACGACACACATTTATACCTATCACAATCACAAAAACCGCGTCGAAGACTTGATGCATGTTATTTGTATCCAAACCAAACCACAAAACAAAAGAAACTAGTAATGTTTCAAGTATATGTGGGGATGCAAAGCTGGTTACCAACTACCAAACCACATGACATATTTGATGTTTGGGATTCATACACGAATTAACTAATAATATAGGAGGTGGTTCTGTGACACCACATTTTTTACACAACTTTTGACATATGTTTTTTAGAGATCCACTTGGTAATGTATTTTAACAATCCAAATGCAACGAGTAATGAATTCTTGGAAGCTCCTTCTTAAAGGGTGCCCCCTTCCCTTGAATGCTACATTGGAGCGAGTTCTTCCACTGCCGAGTCCAGTTCAGGTAGCCATTCGTTCTATCTTCTAAAGCATCATTCATAGATCATCGTTGCAAAAAATTAGACAAATCCAAAACCATTAAAACATTTATTCTTAATCCAACAGTCATATAGTTTCAGATTTGATTGATTTTGTGTAGACATAATCATTGAGGGAAGGCCTAAAAAGATAGACGGTTCGGATGCTGATATACATGATTGAGTGGGCCCCACAAATACCTGTGTCAAAAGTTGTGTTAAAAAATTGGTGTCACGGATATAGAGTGTTGTCTCACATTGAAAAATTAAGCACTTGTTTGTGCATGTAAAGAATGGATTACCGTTTCGATTGTCATTAGCCAATTGGTTTTAATATGAAACTTCAATTTTCTTTCATGATAGTAGAGTATGTTGATCCACATATGTCAGCCTAACAACCATACGTACCCCACATCATACATCAGTGGTCATGTAAGAATGTGAAATGTCGACTTTGTGTTTAGGTTACTAATATATACGAAACCAAAAACATGTGTCTCCCACACTACAATTCATTGTGAAATACGAAAATCAGTAATTAGATTAATTAAGTTAGTAGATGATCTTATACACATTCAATTTCACCTCGAACCAACCGCTTACCTCATTCGAAGTAAGTAACCTTTCAATAAACACTCGATCTATCTTTGGTTACGAACTTAATAATCACACTCTGACATATATACATAAAACCATATAATAACTTATTCATACAAGTATCAATCTTTTGTCTTGTCTGGAAGGAGGATTATGATTTTCCTTGATTAAATTCAATGTATTAACATTTTCTCAACCTTTATAATAATGTTCACCGGATTGAACGCTATCGTTTGTTAAAAAAAAAAAAAATTAAAAAACTTATGTCTGCATGTGACTCGGAGAGGGTTGGTCCAAAACTGACAAATTGACAAATTGACAAATTTGACATGTATGGACTGGACCGTGTCATGGGCCACAAAAACCGTGGAGGGAAGGTTTCCAGTTTTTCCTTCGTCTCCCATCACCCATTTTCGTGTTATACCATCGCGGGCCCCACATCACGCGCTTATTACCTGGGTCCCGCCTCTTTCCCGCGTTAATTAAAAAAAAATAATAATCAATCCAAAGGTTTAGCTGTAAACCAGGATGATTTGTGACAAAGATTTATGCTAACATGCTGTTTGTTCTTTTGTCTTTGCTCCTGTCACTTCTTCCCCTTCTTTTTCTTGCTCTTTTCACATGTCTTGTCTTCTTTCTTCTTTTCGAAATCCGATCGAGGAAATTCGTTACGGTGAAAAATCTTTAAAAGCCTATATATCGGCGAACGAAATCAAACAAATCATATGATCTTTATGCTTTTGTGTTTACTTGTGTACGTGGTGTCGATTTTTGTGACCGAAATGCTATTGGAATCAGTCTCGTAGGCACGTAAAGTCTTGCTCTGTTCAATCATGTTCGTTGAATTCACATAGCAGACAAGATTCGATGTTTTTGACACTCCTCTATTGGTTAATCCATATTGTTATTGTGGATAAAGCTAATTATACTACTAAAGTAAGTTTTACCATGAGACTAAATCGATTAACACGATTTGAATGTCTAAGACCAACTCTAATGGTTGAATTAAAACTTAAATTTTAGGTTTTAAACCCTTGAAATCTCCTCCAACAATTGGGCTAAAATTTGGGCAGATTTAGCCCAAAAAATAAGTCAGGTTAACGGCTGGCATCAATGATGTTGACAGTTTTGTCTGCCACCTTATATCATCCCAACGACAATTTTGTAATATGACGGCTGTAAAGATTGGGCCGTTGGTTAATCCAATGATTGAGATTCAAACTTTTATTTTAAATATAATTTATAAATACATTAAATCCAACTGGTAAGATCGAATATATTCATATCCAAGGATAAAAAAAGATCTAACGATCCAAACTTCAACGTCTAAAACAATTTAAAAAAATTATTGAAAGAATCACTCAAAATTGAAGTATTTTTAATATTTTTTTATTATTTATCGAAATCTAAATATTTTCAGACTAAAATGTTCATAAAAATAAATTAAGATAATATTCATAAATTTTACTTGTTGAAAAAGTTATCGAAAAAAACATTTAGCCTAAATTTATTTTTTAATAATTCTGGACTAAAATTTAACCCTAAAATTTTGGAAGAGAAAAATTGCTTTTGAGTTAAAACCTAAATTTTATGGATTACAAATTTAGGGTTTTTTTTTTTTTTTTTTTTAAGAGGAACAACTGATAGCAAATCACAGCTATTAAAATTTGCCTAACGGTAACACCAGGTAATATCCACAAAATATGATGTATCTAGCATTACTGCGTACGATATCGCTTCCACCATCCGCGTGGAAATGCCAGAGGTCTTGACAAACACTAATTGGGATGCCACAAAATTGTAACCTGAAAGTGCAAGTAAAGTGGAAAGTGGTTTCCAATAGGCATGCTCACTCCTGATGCCTCCAAAAAAGGAAACCAAAAGTCACAAATAGCTGCAGCAACTTGTGAGAGAGAGAGAGAGAGAGAGAGAGAGAGAGAGAGAGAGATAAGCATGGAAAATAATACTCCTCATAAAAATCAAGTTAAATTAATACCTTACACAAATTAATCCTCTGATATTTTTGCAGAAAACCTGCAAGAAGTCTCTAAAAAGCAGTTATAGCAGCTTATGTCACAAGCCACAAGCTTTCCCCTGCATCCGAGCATGGAGAATCCAGGTTTTAGAGCAACCAAAAAAAACACCAACACATTAGGTCTGCCTGCTCCGAAAACACCACAACTTGTGATGCAAGTTTTTGTGAGTTTACTCTGTAATGTATTTTAACTATATGAATAGTTTATCTTTTAGAATATCATTGAAGATCATCCTTGTAAAATATTAGACAAATCCAAAACTATACGATATTCATTTGTAATGAAGAAAATTGACGAATACAATTTTAAAAGAAACATTAAACCTTTAATTCAACTGTCATATGACTTCATATTTTAGTGATTTTAAGAAAGACCTAAAAAATAAACGATTCAGATCGTTAAAATAATTACAAAATGAGCTCGACAACAACTTGTGTTAAAAATTATAAAAATAAATTGTGTCATGGAACTGTTCCATATATATATATATATATATGACATATGTATCCCAATACCACTTATGAAGTAGCACACCATATTTTGTAGATGGTTCCAACAATCTCCCCTGTTTTGCAAGCGTCATCACCGTAAGCTCTAAAAAAAATTCAACGAGGATTCAGGAGCGTACAAATCACACGACAAAAAATCAAGTTGGCTCTCCCTTACGGCAAATCGATCTTTGAATTTGCGACGAAATATATTGTTGCGCAAATTGAGATTGCTAAAGCAAACTAGTCGGGTGTGCTGCGTTAGATCCTCGTATTCTAAAATCAGCTACAGGATAATTATTTTGGTTCATGAATCTTTAATCTAGGTGTCACATGCGAAGATTTGACCCAATCATATTGTGGTACCAATATTTTTACTGTTTACCCTCCAAAAACAGAGCATGCAAAGCCTATCAGTTTTGATCATTGCACATAAGCAATCAGTTCCAAGTTTTTGCAACTTTATATTGTCGAAGAGTTGTGAGGCTTAGTCCACTTTCTCATCTTTTTAATGTAGATACTATCATCTATTTAAAAATAAAAAAAGAATAATGCTTTGTAGACCAGATCTTTAGACGAATTTTGTAAATCATGTGATGTTTCACCAATATGAAATATGTATGTTAATCAACAATTAAGTAATAATTCAATTATCAATAACCACGTCATAGAGTTTACAAAACTTCAGTCAAATAATAGTGATACACTTACTATTTATTTGTACCATCATTCGTATCATTTCTCCAATAGAGTTAGAGTCCACCATTACATGTAGGTTCTTTCTTTATTAGAAAGATGTTACAAATAAACAATAAGAATAACATTTTTTATTATCAAAACATACATGAAACTCAAACTCCAAGATTCCTTAGAAAAAATAATCTTACAATAATTAATATTTTAAAGTTCACAACCATAAAAAAAAGGAGTTACACTGTAATTATTTGCATATATGTAAAAATATATGTGTGTGTGTGTGTGTGAATTTCTTTGTCTGCTTACACCAAACTCACATGAAGAATCTGTGGGGACTATGACCTTGAATTTTCTTGAGGAATAGAAGGTCCAAAAGAGCAACAGAAGTATAATCTAATCCAATTTACAATATTACTGTATTTCTGAGACCAAAAAATAATATCAAGGCCATGTGAACTGAATTGGGTCCAGTTTGAAAATTTCCCCTCAAATATTTATTCAAAAAATCATCCCAGTTTGCAGCAAAAGTTTAAAGCCAACTGTTAACTAATAATATACAAAGAAAAAAAGAATAAAACTGTTATTACCAGTAAAATAAGATTTTTGAAATACCAAGTTAAAAAAAAAAAAAACAACCCTAGACTCCCAATTCTTGTGGGACCCAAGTCCTTAGATAGAGAGCCTCCAAAGTCCAAACTGTCCTTATATCTGTCTGACAAACCCCAACTACAAAAACCAATCTCTCCCCTCAAACTTCACTTACCATTTCTTCTCTGATGCATTTTCACACACACTTTCTAAAAGAAACGTTTCTTTCGCACAGCAATGGCGAGACCGCAACAGCGATATCGAGGCGTCCGACAAAGGCACTGGGGCTCTTGGGTTTCCGAAATCCGCCACCCTTTATTGTAAGTCCACCCCTTCAAAACATCGCAGTTTTTTACATTCGCGTTTCGGCATTGTTACTTGGAAACTAAACGAAGCGTTTCTCTCTTTTCTTCTGCAGGAAGACTAGAATTTGGCTAGGAACGTTCGAAACGGCGGAGGACGCGGCGAGAGCTTACGACGAAGCGGCGAGGCTAATGTGCGGGCCTAGAGCAAGAACAAACTTCCCTTATAACCCGAATGCGTCTCAGTCCTCGGCCTCGAAACTTCTCTCGGCAACTTTGACAGCAAAACTGCACAGATGCTACATGGCTTCACTCCAGATGACCAAAACTTCACTGCAAGAGCCAAAAAAGCCGCAAACTTTAGCGTCATCGGGCGCGAAAATGCCGGATATCAAACCGGAAATTCATCAACCAGTAGCAGAGGAAAATTGGGTTGTGAGGGAAGTAAAAGTAGAGAGCAGCAGCCAGCAGTTCAAGCCACTTGAAGATGATCACATTGAGCAGATGATTGAGGAGTTGCTGCATTACGGTTCCATTGAATTATGCTCTGTTGTGCCACCACAAGCTACCTAAAGTGTACTTCTTTACTCCGCCCGCCGGTTCGCCTGGCAGTGGTCTCGCTCGATTATTAGAAGGAACCGTGGAAATCTCGTTAATCAATTCATGCACGTTACTGATTAGAATCATTTCAAAAACTCCGACCCGATCGAGAGCCTTGATTTAGAGCCCTATATTTATTTCTCTGCCAATGCAAACTCATTCAGCAGATTTAACCCAATTTTCTCAAACTTTGCTAGAAATTGTAGTCCTCAGCTGCATTATTAGCTTAGAACCCCATTAGGACTACCAAGTAACACTTTGGTGATGCTATGTGTACATTATTATTATGTATGATATTATTATTATTATTATTATTATTATTAATTTTATGCTTAATTATTCATGGTTTTTAATTGTTTCCAGTTCATCTTCTCCGCAATAAGCGCAAGTGATTTGGGTTTCTTCTGAAAGTTACAGAATTGATGTTTTTAATCAGCCACTCCTTTTATTTGAAAGTACATGGAAAATTCGAAGATCATAAAAAAGTGAATGCAGTAAATTCAACTAATTAGAATTCCCTGTACATACAAATATCACTCTCAATGTCCGCATAAAAAGTAAAAACCTCGTGCCACGGGATGAGTAAAATCATGCGTTTGTATTTAACTAGACTATTATTTCTTCTACACAGTTGTGGAGTCAGTATGGGATCATCGATTGAGGTAATTGGTTGTCCGTATGGCCCCAACAACTTCAAAAATGCTATGTACATTTGTATGTAGATTTTATCAGCTCTGTCTTTCTTTCCTCTCTTCTTGTGTGCAAATCTACTTTGCTTTTCAAATGCTCGATAAAATGCCTTAGTTGACAAGTTTTGGCAGTTTTCAACATTACTTTATAGTTTATTGTAACCATCATTGACAAGTCTCTACATATCGTAGTAATTGTTGACATATATTGACATAAGCCTTCAACAAATATTGGCAAGTATCGACATATTAATACCAAATGCTCAACGAAATAGTCTAATAAAATTTTTTTAGTCAAAATCGTAACCTCAAATTGTAATTTCGTCACTGCTTCTGCACATTATATCTTTCGAAGAAAATAAATAATAAAATTGCTCAATGCTGTGCTAGTGCGCTCACGGGACTGTAATCTCATCCAAAAAGGATCACATTGAGCAGGTGAAAAGTAATGCTTAAAATTAGGCACTTCCGACAACACATGGTTTTGTGGCTTCTTTATGTTAAAATTTACGAGTCAAAAAGAATTAAAATAGTGTGTTTAAAACCATAAAAATTTCGACCCTTATGAAAATTTTCAATCTTCTGATAACTGATGGGACTAAAAAGGGTTTCTGGGTTTATATCATTTTTTAACTTCTGACTATGAACCCTAGCAAAAACAACCTATGAGCAGCATTTTTGTTGGCGGTTTACCCATTTTGGACACACTTTTGTCATAGCTTGCTATTTGAATCCACCAAAAATTTGGTATATATAAGGAGCCCTTCACAAGAAGTGAGACTTCCCTCATGAACACTGGGATGTCACCGTGAGTTTTGAACCAATGATATAACGCTATGTGGCAAAGTTAAAATGCATGACATTTTACTATTTGTCCGGGACAACACAATGACATTTAAAAAGTGTAGGTATGCCGTTCCCATTTAAACTTTAGAGAATAAACCGGGAAGTGACTAATTTCGAAGCACAATTTGTAAAGTTTTTCCAACATTTGTTTCATGAATTTGGAAATAACATAGTGACTTACTATTAACAGAAAGTTTAATTATAAATCACATATAAACGCTCGGTGTTGCCATAAAAACATAAGAAATTATGTGATAATAATTAAAGACATAGTTAGAAATCTTACAAATTAGGTGATTACAACCATTGGAGAATGATCGCTATCATGCTTATGAGATCAAGTAACTATAATTCAGTAACTTTTGCTATAGCTATCTCTAGATTCTTTACCGCTGTTATTTTCAAATTCCTTTTGTAGAATGCTATCTAGGTAGGTTAGTTGAGACATAGGCATGATATGAAGAAGAGAATATTCGGTTTTTCAAGCCTTTTCATTTCAATTTCAAAGAGAATAATAATGCTCGCGTTCCACCCACAGGAGAACCTACTTGTCCCCCACCTATGACTAACGTATCTTCACCTTACGAACATTATAATCTAAATTGTTCATTCTCTTTGTCGTCATTAAAAGATCATTTATGAGAAGAATCATTCAATTTGGAGATCGTTTAGCCATTCACTCGTGTCAAACTAATTGACTGTTTTTATAAGAAGGAGTATCCTCATAATGAACCTTTCATTTGTTTGATGCATATGAATGGCTAAACGATCTTCAAATTGAATAATTTTTCCCCTATATGATCTTTAGACAATGAAAATGAGAATGAACTGTTTGGATTATGATGTTTGTATGATGAAGATACTTTAAGCATAGGCAGGGGGACAAGTAACCTTGGTTTTATTTTGTTTTTATTTAAATTCATATGATTTCGTACTATGTCTAACCTTAGTTACTTATATAAACCCAAACTTCTAAATAGTCAAAGTTGGATAAAACAATGTGATATCTCCTTTGTATTCAAGTTTGAATCTCTCTTTTTCTAGTTTAAATAAATAAATTAATATAAAATATCATTGATACAAAAATAAGAAATAAACCCTTTTTTGGATAAACAAAAAACAATTCAACCTCTCCCTAAGGATTTTGAACCCCAGCCCTAATGGCATTTTTTTTTTCCTATTCCTAGTCCAACCCTAATTTGAGTGCTTGTAGCTAAATACGTTCATCTTAATTATACTTATTGTCACTTAGTATTACGGTCTAGTGGTATTTCTCTTCACTTGTAAGTGAGATATCTTATGTTCAATTTTCACCAAAGATGAATTTAAACCACATTATTGCTAGTTGTGACATCCCACATCGCCCAGGGGAGTGATCCTTAAATGTATATTCTCATCCCTACCTAGTACGAGGTCTTTTGGGAGCTCACTGGCTTCGGGTTCCGTAGAAACTCCGAAGTTAAGCGAGAAGGGGGCTAGAGCAATCCCATGATGGGTGACCCACTGGGAAGTTGCTCGTGAGTTCCCAAAAACAAAACCGTGAGGGAATGGTAAGCCCAAAGTGGACAATATCGTGCTACGGTGGTGGAGCGGGCCCGGGAAGTGATCCGCCTCGGGCCGGGATGTGACAATTTGGTATCAGAGCCTGACCCTAGTCGTGGTGTGCCGACGAGGACGTCGGGCCCCTAAGGGGGGTGGATTGTGACATCCCACATCGCCCAGGGGAGTGATCCTTAAATGTATATTCCCATCCCTACCTAATACGAGGCCTTTTGGGAGCTCACTGGCTTCGGGTTCCGTAGGAACTCCGAAGTTAAGCGAGAAGGGGGCTAGAGCAATCCCATGATGGGTGACCCACTGGGAAGTTGCTCGTGAGTTCCCAAAAACAAAACCGTGAGGGAATGGTAAACCCAAAGCGGACAATATCGTCCTACGGTGGTGGAGCGGGCCCGGGAAGTGATCCGCCTCGAGCCGGGATGTGACAATTTGGTATCAGAGCCTGACCCTGGTCGTGGTGTGCCAACGAGGACGTCGGGCCCCTAAGGGGGGTGGATTGTGACATCACACATCGCCCAAGGGAGTGATCCTTAAATGTATATTCCCATCCCTACCTAGTACGAGGCCTTTTGGGAGCTCACTGGCTTCGGGTTCCGTAGGAACTCCGAAGTTAAGCGAGAAGGGGGCTAGAGCAATCCCATGATGGGTGACCCACTGGGAAGTTGCTCGTGAGTTCCCAAAAACAAAACCGTAAGGGAATGGTAAGCCCAAAGCGGATAATATCGTGCTACGGTGGTGGAGCGGGCCCGGAAAGTGATTCCGCTCTGGCCGGGATGTGACACTAGTCCATTATGAGGCTAAGCTCATCTCCCTCCTTATTAGCGTATATAATATCAATTGTTACTATATATATATAATATTTATTGGGATTAAAAAAATGGAACTTTAATGAAAAGCTCATAGTACTGTTTACTTTAACAAAAAATCACATTTTTATACTAAAAAGTCAATCATGGTACTATTCACTTTACTCTTTATTTTGTCCTTATCGTTAAAACTCAAAACTTTCAAACTTTTTTCATTAGTTTTCTTAAAAAAAAAAAAAAAAAGGAATCCCGACTTTTTTGTTTAATTTGTGCAACAAAATGCATGTGTGTTGCTAGTTTTGAGTTTTTGGTGTCCCATCTCTATCAGTAAAAACTTCATGATTGTTCACCTGTTTGGGAATTGATTTTGCTCCCCACAACCATCAAAAACTAAAGTTGTTTACTCTCATTATATTGTTTTTAACTTTTGATCAAAGTGCTTAAATGATGACCAAAGTTAGTGAGTTCACCATCATCAATTGTTTGAAACTTGAGACCTCTCCTGGGGACCATGATCAATTTTCCACCTGAACTAAAACTGCTTTCCCCATTTCCTCAAATTCCCCGTGCATCAAATACAACTATGACAATATTTTAAATCAATCATGCACTAACATATGAGAAAGTTAAAACGCATAAGAGCGTAATTAACTTAAAATACCATCACAGTGACTATCTTGGTGTGAGTTTCTCCCCATATTGACCATGTTACAAAATTACCAGTTGAACGAGAACAAATCATTTTGTTTTCTGGGAAAATTCCCATTTAGACGACAACCGCTTCTTTTACTGAAGATTGATCTGATAACCTGATTAGATATTGAAATGGACGGGTTTTGGCTCTGAACTTTTTCATCGTTTTTGCATGTTACATAGCATTTGTCCAGGTAGAAAGTAGAAAACGATGGATTAATTAAGCAGTAATTCTTCTGTTCTTTCTTCCAGAAAACCAACTGATTAGGGTTTTGGTAAAAACATGCAACGTACGGAATTTGTGTGACCGCAATGATCAAAGTTGCATTTGGAGAACAGAACAGAGGCATTCACTTGAATCTCACACCAGAAGAGAGAGAGAGCGAGAGAGAGAGAGAGAGAGAGAGAGAAAGAGAGAAAGAGAGAAAGAGAGAGAGGACTACAAGAGTCAAAGGAAAGATCTTGATCAGAAGCAAAAGCAGTCAAACAAATGATGGTGTATCCAATCATGGTGGTGTATAGAATCTCATGAAGGAATAGTTTTTGGAAGAGACAATCATATTTGGTGCTCAATCTTTTCGTGACCCAACACGAAAATTTACAAGTAATTATTTCAGTTTTCTTTCTAATTAATAGGAATTATCATTTATTTTAGCCTTTTAGGTGCCTCTTGGATCAAGTGCAAAGCATGCAAAAATATCCAAAAGGCAAATTGCTTTGTTGTAAGGGAGTAGGGAGTGAGGAA